TACGATCCAAGTATGTTGGCCTTAATTGTTTCTCCTGCACTGGAGTGGAGCTGTAGAAGGGTTTCTTCCTTGTTTGACCTGTGACACACCAAATGTCTTGAGCTTGGTCTAGTCGCTGTCAGACAGAGGTTTAGTGGTAAAGGGTCCCCATTCCAAGAGGCTGAACAGAATGGTTTGAGCGTGCCTTGGACTGGGCAGGGAGCTGGGCAGTGTGTAACTAACATCTGAGTGGTTGTTTTGCAGCACACTGCAGCAGTGGTGAGTGCCAAGAGCTACCTGTGTCCTGTGTGTGGCAGAGCCCTCAGCTCACCGGGGTCCCTTGGGAGGCACCTCCTGATCCACTCGGAGGACCAGCTGTCCAACTGTGCAGTGTGTGGAGCACGCTTCACCAGTCATGCCACCTTCAACAGGTCAGGGTCTCCCTGGCTGGTGAGTGGGCTAGAGCACCACATTAAAGATTAAGTGGGTTGCCTTAAATGACTCAGAAGTTGTGGCTGTGGACACACCAAGGCCTGTAGGACAGTGCTAAACATCCCCAGTGAGTGAGATTCCCTTGATCCTTTCCTGCCTGCAGCTCTGCATCCCCTGCAAAGACCTCCAGGGGCTGTGGTGCTACAAGGGTGTTCCTTAGCTCTGTGCAGAGCTAGAGGGGTGCAGAAAGCACTGGGGTCTCCAGTAACTGGAGAACAACACGCTGCTTCCCTTACCCAGCAATCCATCAGCATAAGGCTGCACTGCCCAGGTGGGTTCATCATTTTCAAAGCAGGGCTACAGGCAGAGACCAAAATGTTCTTTCTCTGTGCCCTGCCTGGTGGGAGATTATCCACTGACCAATGGAATGGGGCTGAAAGGAGAAATCCAGAGATGAGGGGAGGAGCAGCTCACTGGTTAATTCCTGCTCTTGCGCTCTTCCAACCCAGATACCTCTCTGGGCTGACCCACTTCCTACACCGGATAGGATGGTGCTTTACTTCAGATGCATCTGTGGGCAAATGGTTTAGCAGAGGCCTCTGCCATGGGCTGTAGTGGGGCACTGTTTGTGGCAGCCCCTGGGAACTAAGATGGGGACTCTGCCAACAGCACCAAGTCTCTGACTCTGCTCCTTATGCTCTGCAGTGAGAAGCTGCCTGATGTGCTCAGTGCAGATCGGCTGCCAGCGCCGCAGAGCCAGGGCCCCTCTGGAGCCGAGGGGAAGGACGTTGCCTTTCGCACCCCCGTGTACCCCGCGGGCATCCTCCTGGTGTGCAACAACTGCGCCGCGTACCGCAAGCTGCTGGAGGCGCAGAGCCCCAGCATGCGCAAGTGGGCCCTGCGGCGGCAGAACGAGCCCCTGGAGGTGCGGCTGCAGCGCCTGGAGCGGGAGCGCACGGCCAAGAAGAGCCGGCGGGACAACGAGACACCCGAGGAGCGGGAAGTGAGGCGCATGCGGGACCGGGAAGCCAAGCGGCTGCAGCGCATGCAGGAGACAGACGAGCAGCGGGCGCGGCGGCTGCAGCGGGACCGGGAGGCCATGCGCCTGAAACGCGCCAACGAGACCCCTGAGAAGCGACAGGCCCGGCTCATCCGGGAGCGCGAGGCCAAGAGGCTCAAGCGGCGCCTGGAGAAAATGGACATGATGCTCCGGGCACAGTTTGGCCAGGACCCCTCTGCCATGGCTGCTTTGGCAGCTGAGATGAACTTTTTCCAGCTACCAGTGAGCAATGTGGAGCTGGAGAGCCAGCTGCTGGGCAAAATGACCTTTGAGGAGCAGAGCAACAGTGCGCTGCAGTAAACCACAGCCACGAATGGTGCTGCCTCTGCTGTGCCTGCCCCAGGTGCACTTAGCAGGCTTCTGCACTCAGGAGGCTGCTGGGGGTCTCTCTGACCTTCCCTGACAGGTGGTTCTGGTTCTACTCTGAACCCAGGAGGAGAACAGAGCTGAGAGATGTCTGCCAAAGCAGCTCTGGTAGGAGCAGATTCTGAGTATACAGTCTGCTCTGGGGGCCAAGTCACAGCCTGTGACAGAAGGAAAATAAATTAATGTTCACATTTATTAGTCCCCTTCTTTACCTTTTGTGCTTTGTCCTGTTCTTGGATCCTGGCCCCATAGATGGGTCTGGGCTGTGGCAGTTCTGCTGTATGTGAAACCCACCTCACTACAAAGGGATCTTGTTTACTGCAGCATGAATTATGGAGCTGAAGACTTTGACAGTCCACAAGTCCTCCAGGAATAAATCCTTTGCCGTCTGTGCCCATAAAAAGGAAACAAAGGAGGATGTCTTGCTGGAAATGGCTGTGTACACCGTTTTTCTTAACACTATTATTATGTGCTTATTTGCAGTAGCAGCCATGGAAAAATTAAGAGGAAGCTAAGCTCCTGTTGTAAGATACTCCATAAAAACAGTAAAAGAAAGGCTGGCTGAGGAAAGCAAACAGCAGACAAGTTTGCTGCTTTACTCACAAGTTAATTTTCACCTAAACAACATTTCAGGTCTGCAAGTGATTGAATGATAAATAATACAGCAGGTCAGTTTCTAGGACTGGATGGGTTTGCTTTCTTCTTTACTCAGCACTGGTGAGACCACAGCTAGAGTCCTGTGTCCAGTGCTGAGGTTCCCAGTGCAAAAGCAGCACAGATGTACTGGAGGCAAAATGTGATCATAGCCTATGCCTATAGGAAAAGGTTCCAACTATTAAACTATGGAAATTAAATCTAGGCATCTTGAATGTGGAAAAGGCAAAAAGCAGTGGCACAGAAGGACTCATGAGGGGCAAAGAGGCGGTACACTCTCTGTTATTGGGTTTCTATAAGAATGTGCATCTGAAAATGCGTGGTGTAGCTCTGTGATTTCCAAACATCAGCCACTGTGCCACACCTCTGTGTTTTGTAGCCTAAAGACCCCTACTACCTCCATAGCATTTCTAGTGAAGGTCTTGTGTCACACAGACTGGTTCAAACACCCTGGGAGCTACTGTCTTCTCTCTGATGGCTGTTTCTCTGCTTTGCAGAGAAATGGAGACCACAAGACTCCTATTTGAGATCAGAAGAGTAAAGTTAAAACAAGAAGCAAAACCTTTTGACCAGACTACTTAGAACCCTATTTCCCCCTCATTTTTCAGTTTGAAAATCTTTTGATTGCAGTCCCTTAAAGCCCAAGTTAAACTTACAAAAGTTGCCTTCAAAGTGCATTTATGTTGCAGTTTTCTGGCAATAATGAACTACTCTTAGTGCCAGCCCTGGGGACGCTGCTAGGAAAGAGCACTGAACCTTTTCAGTGCTAGTTTCCTCCACATGCCACTGCAACATCTTGTTTCCTCCTACAGAAGCTGTTTTAACATGAAATTCATCACGTAGAACTGACACCCAGGAGCCATCCCTGTCTCTCTCACTTTGGGAAAAGGCACCAGATCTGGAAAAGGAGCTGTTCAGTTCCATGTTCCTTTGTTCATCTCCTGCTTTGTTCTTTGATCTCTCACTTTTATCCTTACCTCTGTTCATTTTCATACTCAAACCCAGTTTGCTTTTGGCAATACTGCTTTTGCTCTACCTCATGTATTTTGCTTGCCCAGCAAAGATGTACTTTCACTCTGCAACCTGCAGCTGGAACTTTCCCTGCAGCATCACTGGCATCTTTAGGCCAAGGGGTTCAAGAGAGACCACATAAAACAAAAGTATCTGAAAAAATTATGGCTTATAATCCGTCTGTCAAACAACCTGTACCTTGCCCTTGTCATGAGTCTCCAGATCACTGTGTAAGACCAGAGAAGCCACATCTTGATGATCACTGATGCTACAGACGAGCAAAAAGTCTCAAACACCAAAGGAAAAGCTATTGGTTTATATATAGATATATATATATATAGATATATACTGTGTTTACAGAGTCAACAAGTTAAATGCAATATTCATAAGAGCATTAACAATAAAAATACAATCTGTGTGTAGCCAAGTACAGACTTAAAATGGTAAAACAGGAAAAAGGATCTCACCAAAAGTACAAATATACAGTACAAATTGATTTATTTAAAACAGTTACAAAAAAAGCACAACAAAATAGAGATTATCCTTAGAATTATTAATGCTTTGTTAAAGATCAGGTAGGAGGAAAGGGGCAGGGACAAGGTCGGAGGGGAGCACCTGACTAGTTCTAAGGCTTTAGATACACTGCGTTGGTTACATGTTAATACAGCCATATACTGGGGTTATAGTGAGGGGTCAGCACTTATCTACAAACACCTCCCTGCCTCAGGGCAGCCCAGCCAGCCCCCCTGTGTCTGTCTGTCTGTCTCTGGGCAGACCCTCCCCGGCGCTAAGGTGCCATGAAAGCCGAAAACTCGAGTGTGCAGGGGCACGTTGGCAGCAGCAGCCTGGAAGGACCTTAGGGGCAATCCTGTCCTCCACAGACAGGTGTGAAGGCCATGCAAGGGCCTGGACCATCAACCTTTTAAGCCATACATGGAACACCCTGGGCCAAACTGTACAGAATGTACATTTGTGGCCATCGTAGCAGCTTCTGCAAAGTGTCAGGCCCTAGGACAGCCTGAAAGACAAGGAGCAGTTGTGAGTGATGCTGGGGAAAGGCACGTGTGCTGCTGCGGGCAGGAACTACCATTTGGGCTACTCCAGCTGCTGTAGTTTCTTTTACAATATTTTCTGAGTAACAAGGATTGTTAGTTCTCTATGGGGCAAAGTGACTTCAAGTGTGGGGGTGGGGACAGGGACACTTAATGTGAAAAGTGCATTATACCTGCTCGGTGGCTGGAAGGGGAAGGCAGAGGGGGCCCTCTGCAGCTTCCTCCCTTCCAGACAGAGCTTCCTCTGCATAGTCGTAGGCATGAGCACTCTCTGCTGTGAATGACAGGCCTGGCTCCGCTGGGCAGCTGACTCGAGGAATGTTCCATGGGATGGGACAGATGGCTACAGAACACTCAGTATTGCATCCCACAGACTCCTGTTACAGAGTGTGAGCTGGGTAAGACCAGGGCCAGAAGGCCTTCTCCTCCTCCAGGCAGGACAGACCACAGCTCTCCTCCACAATAGGAACATATTTCTCTGAAGTCTGTCACATCTCTGCCAGCAGAAAAGCCCAGGTAACCATCCCACTCCACAATGTTTTCCTGGCTTTATCTCCTCTTTTCCCTGTAAACCCAAGAAATAAAAGAATGTGCTCCACGGGCTCATTCACAGCCTTTCTGCCTGCAGCAGAGCCTATCTCACACACTCCCTGTCCCAGGAGAGTCTCAATGCTCAGCACAACCACCATTGCAGTGCTGAGCCACACAGCCCAGCCCTGTAAGGACAAGTTCCAGTGATACCAGTACTGCTGAACTGGGCTGAAGGACCTCCAGTGGTCCACTCCTGCCCACCGTTTGGGGCAAGCAGCCAGATGCACAGATTCTTCATCTCAGTGCCCTGCCTTGAGCTGTGCCTGAAAGCACTGCTTCCAGGGGGGAGCTGGCAGCTGAAATATGCACAACAGTGGGAGTGACAGGGAGTCTGGGAAGAAGGACTGAGGTCCAGTTCACCCTGGCCTGTTCCACAGAGCTCAGGACTGCACTCAACAGAGGTGCAGCAAGCCAAAGTCCAGGTCAGCAGCCAGGTAAACAATGAGGGTGAGCACCTTCACAGCCCTTCAGCTGCCTACAGTACAAAGCTGTTTTAGCCACACAGCATCTTGCCTCAGTCATCTGTGCTGCCCATTCAGACCCCGGCACAGTGTGGCTGAGATCGGAGAGGAGTCACAGTAACACACAGGGGATAAGGCAGACTCTCCAAATCCTCACTCAGACAGACTCCTGTGTTCACACATGTGAGGGGCTCTGCACCCTCAGCTGCTCAGACATTCCCTCTGTGGTGTGGCCAACCCCTCTACATTCACACGCCACACGTATGTGAGATCCCTTCCTCAGCTTTCACAGCTCTCAGTTCCTCTGCATGCACCGAGCAAAGAACACGCACGAGAACCTGGGCTCCTCTGTCTCCAGCCTCTGGCCACAGACACCTCGGGTATCCTGAGCATTACGTACTGATTACCAACATTAATCGAGGTCTTTGCGTAGGAGAGTCCAGTGAACAGGAGCTGTGACACCCCCGGGTGATGGGGGGGCCCAGGGGGGACACTTCACTGACAAACAGGGCTGTGAAAACAGCGTCTGTTCCCGCAGATGCTGCACCTGAGGAAGCAGAATCTTCACCTGACAGCATCACCGTGACTTCACACATCTCAAATACAGCTGATGAGATCAGAAGTAGTGTGTCATTTGGGAGCAGCTACACATGATACAGGCAGCACCCTCATTCTGGAGAGCCCCGTGAGGCACAGACACTGAAGGCATGATTAGCACATCTCACCTAAGGCCTGAAAAGAGTCTGTCCAGGTGCAGGTATTTCAAAGGCAACAGAAATGGCTAGCAATGTGCTAGGAAAACAGGATGGGGATGGAAGGGACATTCTGGAGACTCTCTAACTTGCCTGATACCCAGGCAGAGCACCTGCCCATCACACAGCAGAAGCCAACCAGTTACAGGACACACTCCTAGAGAGTGCAGAAGAGCCCTCAGGCAGCACCGCTTCAAGGAGAGGTGCTGACACACACCATTCTGTGACAGAGAGGAGCAGTGCCCCAGAAGTCAGGCACACCTGACAGAAACTTCAGGAAGATGAGAGCAGTGAGACAGAAACAGCATGCTGCACATAAGGGCTCTGCACACTGAGAAAAGCCCTCTCCAAAGCCTGGTCCTAGCACAGAGATGGGCACCTGAACACAAGGAATACTTAACCCAGGTTAAGTCAGTGAAAACTTTCCTCCCCAGAACAGTGACCATTCTTTATCCTGGCTGAGCAGTTGTAGCTGGTGTCATAATACACCATTCAGAGAGAACAGATTAGTGTAACTACAGGAGCCTTCACTCAATAGAGTGTTATCACCACAATGAGGTATTCATACACAGTTGTATTAAGTCCCACCATGAAAGAGACTAGTCTTGATTTTACCTTATTGTTCTACAGAGGAACTCCGAAGTGAAGCATCAGAAAAACTAACAAAACCACCCCAAAATGCCCTGTGATGCTGTGATATTTTTAGAGCCCCTACATTAATGAACTGTACTTTTCAGAAACTTTGTACCTTGCCTGCACATGCACAAACACTTGTCTCTTGTCCAGAGCTTATTCAGGAAACTGCCTGCAGGGAAGAATTAGCCATCCAGAATGTTTTTTTTTCTGAGTTAATTACAAAATAGCCTCGGTCTTCTCACAGAAAAAGGATGTTTTCATCCTTTCCTGGAGAATGCTGAATATATTTTAATCCAGCTTTAAAAAAATACAAACTAACAAAATACCAAACCCCCAAATCCAACCAGACAAAAAACCCCAACCCCATTCATTCCTAGGCAAAGACTCTGCAAATTTATAAGCCCAGGATTTTTTTTAAAGTTACTAACATGGGAAGAAAGATTTGATTTGGTGGCAAACAATTAAATGTATTTTATAGCAGGAAACTAAATGTCTCCCAGCTCAACTTGTGTCCCATCCCAAGTGGTCAAGTTCCCTATTCACCTACACCCAAACCCATCCTTTTGGTCCTTCCTCTTGAATTTCTGTGAATCATTCAAATCTGTACATTCTTTGCAAGAAGAAAGAGCAGTTGGATTCAGTGGAAGAGACATTAATCAGAACCACCAGAGAAGCACCTCCGTCCTGCCCTCGAGAGCTCCGTCAGTGAACGGTCCTTTTAAAGTGCATGTGTGAAGAAAGGGGATACTGGGAGTAGAGCCCCCAGACTCCAGTGGGGACCCGTCTCTCCCCATCATGAGAAAGGAGGAATAAAATCTTCAGCAATTTTATCTGCTACCTTAAGCCGTGTCTGCCCTCCTCATTTCCCCACCTGTCCTGAATGCTCAGCCCCTGCCCTGCAGGGAGTCAGTTATCCCTGGAGGTGGGAGAAAGCCCCAGCCTCCAGCCTCTGGAATGCTCTCATTGCATGCTCATGAGCACGTCCGTGCTCCCCACCCCAGCTAAGCCTGTCGCTGCTCCCTGAGGCACTGGAGCCCTCCTGACTCCCCAAGAGTCAGCCACGGAACTGGAATAGAGCCAGTCCTGCAGGGCAGAGAGCAGCCTTGCTGGTGAACCTGTCAGAGTCTGTGCAATTCCTCCACCTGAGGGGGAGGCTCACCTGCCGGGACTGCCCCAGCTCACACCTCCACGGGATCACTTCCCTGCATTCGAACGCCCTTCAATAGACAGCTTCACCTCCTGGGGAATGAAAGAGGGACGGAGCAGGGAGGGCCGAGGCTCCTCTGCCTGCACGCTGTATCTTTGGAAGCCTGGGGCTGCCCAGCTGTGCTGAGTGCCAGCCTCAGGCTGAGAGGGCTCTGCGCGAGCGCTCTGGGCCGCGCTGTCCCTGTCCGTGTGGCTCTTCCTTTCAGCAGCTCTGTCAGGTGGCTCTCGGAGCCCCTGAGCTGTTCGTTCCGATCTCTCCCTGGCAGATCCCAGCTGATCTGTGAGAGGGGAGTTGGCCTGAGAAGCAGAGTTGCCATTCATGCTCTGTAAACTGATTGATATGCAGACATCCCCCACTTGCAGCCTGTGACAGGGCAAAGCAAAGAGCTGAGCAGTCCGCCCCGGGCTGCAGGAGGACCAGCCCTGGCCATACACAAAGAAGGGATGCTCCGGGGGCACATCAATGCTCACTTTACTTTGTTGCTCCCCAACCACAAAATGCAGTGTGACAAGCCCAGGCCACTGGCTTTCCTGAATATCCACCACAGTGCTGGAGTCGATCTTCAGGCCCCCGCTCACCTCCGCACTGCGAACAAAATCTTGAGTCTGCAGGTCCTCCACCCGCTTCAGCTCTCCTGTTGCCAGCTGGATGATGGCTCCTTTCATGAAGTGAGAGGGCAGCTGGGAGGAGCTGGGTGGCTGCAGCTGGGCCAGCTCCTTTTCCAGCATGCTTCCTCGAGCCTGTGCATCTGGGCTCTGCCTCACCAGGGCTTCCGAAGTGGAAGACCTGATGGGCTCAGACCCAATGGGAACAAGGACTGGCTTGCCGTTGGCTACCACCATTCCTTTGGTTAACTGTCTCTGTCTAACAGCCTCCTCGGGGGACATTCCACATGGGCTCTGGGACTGGCTGTTCCCAGCCCTATCCATGGTGTTTCTCAGCATGTCTTCCTGCCCATCAGGGATATTATGGCAAAGGTTCAAAGGGCTCGGATCATCTTTCCTCTGGGCTGCCAGAACATGATAATCCTGAGATGCCAGCACTCCCACCACCCTCTGAACCTCCAGATCAGTGTCTGGGGTGCTCCTGTGAGCTGGCACAGAGATCTCTCTTCCCAGCATCTGGTAACCTGGAAGGAACTGTCCGTCACCCACACCTCCTGCTGCAGCCCCCGGGGGCTGACAGTCCTCAGCTGCACTGCTGGCAGAGTCCACGGCCTCGCTGGGCCTCCTGGCCATGCTTTGCTCCAGGGGCCTCTGCCCACCGTTGGCTGCAGCCACCTCTGAGCTCAGCTGACTGTCCTGCTGAGGAGACACTGGGCTCCCGCCTGCTGCAGGTGCCTCATAGGCCGCATACCCTGGTGGGAGGCGGGACATCTGATAATAAACAGGAATCCTGCCCGGGGCCATGTCCAGCTGGGGCACAGAGTGGTGCTGCACCTGCCCAGGAGAGGCTGCAGAGGCGGATTTGTTGAAGCTGTGGGTGGGAGAGGTAGTCTGGGGGGAAGGAGCAGCTTCTTCCGCGAACAGGGAGGCATATGGCACAAAGTGGGGGACGTGGGGGGCAGCGAGGTTGGTGGAAGGAGACAGGAGAGGACTAGGCAGGAAGGCAGGAGGGACGGCATAGGGCACTGTGTAGTGGGACCCGATGAGCTGCAGGGAGGCCGGAGGGATCTGCGCGTAGTGGATGGGGGGGAAGGGCACCCCCGGGTGCTGAATGATGGGCGAGCTCACGTTGAAGGCGGGGGACAGGGGGCTCACGTTCACCACGGGGTGCAGGCCCGTGGGGGAGAAGGTGGCAGGTGGTGCTGCCACTTTGTAGAGCATCCCGTACTGGTCCACCGTAAGCCCCGCTGCCGCCTCGGGGGCTTCGCCGGGGCCATAGCGGGGGGCGGCAGGACCCGGTCCGGCCGTTCGGGCCCACTCCGGGCCCTCGCCCGAGCCCTGGGGGCCCCCCGCCCGTCCCGCCTCGGTGCCGGCGCTGGCGGCGGGAAGGTCCCGTTTCTTTGGCGGGAGGCACTCCTGGCTCCGCTCGTGGCCCGCTCTCATGGCGCCCCGCGCTGTCCCGGCTGCCCTGGCCGCCGCGCTCCTTCATGGGGGCACCCGCTGGGGCTGCCCCGCGCGGGCTCCCGGATCCGCGCCGCCCGCCGCCGCCTCACCTGCGCCAGGAACAGAGGGAGCCGTGAGTCCCACACACAGGCACGGCGGCGGCCCCCGGCCCAGGGCCGGCACCCCGGGCACGAGAGACGCCCGAGCCCGGTCGCCGCCCCATCCCCGGCCCCAGAGCCCCGGCCGCGCTGCGCCCCGCGGACCCGCCTGGTGCCCGCCCAATGCCCGCGGCTCACCCGTCATGGCCCAGCCCGGCCCCGCGGACCCGCCCGGTGCCCGCTCGGTGCCCGCGGCTCACCCGCCATGGCCCGGTCCGGCCCCGCGGGCCCGCCCGGTGCCCACACCGGCTCCTCCCCACCCGCGGCGCGCAGCGATGACGCGCCACGCCGCGATGACGCGCCCGGCGCACAGGAAGTGCCTCATCCGTCGGCGGGAGTTCTGCCGCCGCCGCGCACGGATGACGTCACGGGACAGCAGCAGCGCCGTTGCCGTGGCAACGGGCCGCGTAGGCCCGGGGCCGGCCCGGCTGCAGCGCCGTGTGGGGTCTGTCGGTCCCGCGCCCCACGCGGACCCTCCTTGGCTGGGCGGGAACGCGGGCCCCGCGGCGGCGCAGCCCGGCTCACCTGCGGGAGCCTGCGGTCTGAAGGGCCCCGCTCCCTTTCTCGCACCCCCGTAGTGTCCCGCAGGGCCCGCGCTGCTGGCCGGAGCCCCGCGGAGGGCAGTTTCTCGGCATTCGGTGATCGCTGAGGTGACAAAAGGTCCTGGAAGGGCGGACAGAAGAACTGCTCGGGGCGGGGGCTGCTGTACACCCCTTTCCTGAGGCGCCTCGCTCCTCCCGCCGCCGACGGACGCTTCGACAGGGCGAGATCGCGGGGGGGCGGGGAGCGGTCCCGGAGCCCCCCGGAACCCCGGGCGCGGGCGGCGGGACCCGCCCGGCCCCGCCGCCGGGAGCGCGCGCCGCCGGGACCGCCCCTCGCGTGACGTCATCAGGGACTGCCACGGTGCAGACGCACCGCGCCTAGTCAAACCAGTCCCGCGGATGCTTCCGCCAAGAAAAGTAGTACGAAGGGCCTTTTCCACCGCGCCGCCGGCGGTGCCGATCCCCTCCCGCTCCTTTCCCACCCAGCCCAGCTCAGCCCGGCCGCGCCCCCGCCCGCGGCCGGGACAGCCCGAGGGGCTGCGGCGAGCGAACCGGCGCGCGGATCCCTCCGCCTGCGGTATCGGTGCTGCGGCCGCGCCGCCGCCATTTTGAATGCCCGGCTCCGTCTGCCGCTGCCGCTGCAGGGACCGGCCCGGTGAGTGGGACCGGCCCGGGCGCCGCCGCCCGGTTCGGGACTCCGCCGCTGCGAGGTCCCGCTGCCCGGGGCCCCGCGAGCCTCGGTGCCTCTGCCCGCCCCGAGCTCCGCGGCTGGGCTGCGATCGCTCTGCTCGCGGGGCCGCCCGGTGCCCTCCCGCTGCCGGCGCCGCTGCCTCCGCCCGGCGGCTCGGCCGCCTCGGACTCTGCCCCCCGCGCCCTAAGGCCGCCTGCCCGGGCGCCAGGAGCGCTCCGTGCCCGGCCCGGGCCGTTCCCCGGTGCGGGCTGCGCCCCGTGCCCACGGTTGTGGGGCCGCGCGGTGGCCGAGGGGAGCGCAGCCCGGGACCGGTCCGTGCTGGGGCCTGTGGCCGTCCCAGGAGCAGCCGGGACCTGTGCCCGTCCTGCCGCCGGGGTGTGATTGCCTGGGCTGTGCAGCCGCTCCGAGCGTTACGGCGTCCCCAGTGCTTGCCGTGTTTGCCGGCGATCAGGGGTTTCAGCAGGCGCAGGAGATGCACGATCCGGCCGGAGGCATTCGCAGTGAGCTGTGTCTGACGGCCGGTCTGTCAGGGAGGCTTCAAGTCCTTTCTTCAAGGCTGGTTGAGTTCTCTTCTCGCACAAACTATAAGACAAACTATATATATTTAATTTTTTTTATAGTGAGCTTTGTTTTTAAAGTTAGCAGATGGAACAGGTGTGCTTTTTATTATGTTGTAAGTAATGCGTAAAAATGCTGAGTGATTTATTTCAGTTTCTGATGCTTGAGATGTTAATGAGGCAGCACAGAATCCCAGTGGAATACCTTTGGAAGTGTTACATGTCACACGTGTGGCTAGAAGGTATTTGGTCTGTAGTGGCTTAAACAGAGTAGAACACGTATGTGTTTTCTCCTGCATGGTGCTCCAGTATCCCACATTTAATATGGCAGGGAATTTTGTGTTGTTTTCTTTTTCTCTTTTTTTTTTCCTGTTCCACTTCTCTGTGATAGAGCACAGCAGCTTTTTGTACCCCTGTTTCGCCACCACTGCTCCTCTAAACTACACTTTGTATTTTTCCCTTTGTTTATTTGCATGTCCCGTTCTATTGCCGAATTCTTTTGCCTACTCCTGTGCATTCCTGTTTGGCAGGGTTTGAAAACCTACTGGGTACTCAGGAGCTCAGCAAAGGCAGGAGATTTTGTGGGTTTTTCTGAGGAGTTCAGTGTGAATCTCTTCATTCTTCTGGGCTGGGAGAAGGAGGGGAAAAGGTATTTAAATCCTAGGACTTGAGGAGGGGAAAGTCTGTGGTAATTGTTTTGTGAAGGGATCCAACTTTAGTGTTTCCAGTGTGTGAGATAACTTTCAGACTTCCTCCTTTTATGATAAAAAACTCCATTATCTTCCTTTTTTTCTTTTCTTTTGTGTTCCTGTGACTGCTGATCTATTTTCCTGAAGGTGGTGTGGTAGGGATGGGTGGATCCTGTAGCACCTTTGTGGTGTTGTGTGAGAGAGTAGGGGATACAGAAATGTTCGGATTCTTGGTAGCTCCTTATGTACAGAGTCTTGTAGTGGCATCACTGTCCAACAGAGTGAGTGAGTGTGTCAGGCCATGGTGTGAGGAGGTTGTGGACAGCAGCAAAGAAACCCAGATTGTCTGTTCTCAGGCACACACAGCCTGCCCTGCTTGGTGCAGTTCAGGTTTGGAAGGTTGCCTTTCCAAGTGTGAGGGCTCATGGAAATCTTAACTGCTGCTAAAGCTGATGTCATTCACTCAGTAAAGCTCCTTGAGCCTCTCTAGTGTGAATATTTGTATTTGTGAGTAGGCAGTGTATAACTTCAGCAGATGGGTTGTTTGACCTCTTCATATTTTTTAGTGACACGAAAAACTCTTCTGACTGAAGGTGATGTTAACTTGTTGTAGATGATACTCAGCTATTCTCTAGGGAAAAGGGTCTGCTCTGCCTTGTACCAGCATTCCATCACTGGACAGAAGTTCGGGAGTTAATAAGTAAATATATGATGAGGCTGTAACTTGAAAAACAGAGCTACACTAACATGGGGACAAGTGAAACTGCTGATATCACAGGTATTAGTACAACCTGTACCTGCTGTTTGGCAGAGATGCTGCAGATAAAATTGAAGACTAGAACTTCCTAGAGCATAGCTGAAGTTACCTGGCCTGTTGTAAAGTGAATGTTAATGAATGTAAAAATGGGGCATCATGTCTTTCATGTGGCATTAACCAGGGTTAAAAACAGTGTGGGGTTTTTAGTCACAAAGTAGTAGCTAATTTTTTTTTTATTTAAAGTCTAATTCTACAGGGAAGTGAACAGGAAGTAAAATAGGCAGATTACAGATTAAAATAGCGAGGGACCTAGAAGTAGGTAATAAATACAAAGGTAATGTAGGTCAGTGGTGATTGAAGTATAGAAATGGAAGCCAGGAAATCTGGAATTCTGCGTGCAGCTGTCATACTGATCAGCTCTGTAGCTGTGCTAATTCTTCTTCGTACCTTTGTTAGCATCTAAAAAAAGGGAAATATTTATTTTCTTTTTGGGCAGCTGTTGAGGTCAGTGTTTGTAGTGGTTGTGAGCTCAGCACATCTTTTGAAGGCAGTTGAGGAGCTGTTTGGTTTGGGGTGTGTGCACAGTTGTGCAGGAGTGGGAACCTCATCCAAAATGCTGGGTTGTGTGTGGGGCTGTGCCCCAGGCAGCAGAGAGTGGGAGGGGGCAGTGGGGTCTGTGCACACCCAGGGTCTGTGAGAACAGGTCCTACCCTGCCTCTCCCCTTCCCTTCCTCTCAGCCCCTGAGCAGCACCCTCCCTCAGCTCTTCAATACTCTTGTGCTACATTTCTTGTTCATTTTTTTAAGATGTAACTGGAAGTGGGACCATCACTTCTCCAAGACTACTTTTTCTCTCTTGTTTAGGGGCACTCTTTTCCTTACTTGACCTCCCCCCTCTCCCTCAGCTGTCTTTGTATAAAGTGAAGCATAAGCTCGATACCTTTTATTATGAGAATGCATTTTGAAGCCCCCTGCTGCCTTAATTTCTTCCTGATTTTCTGATGTTACTTTCTAATTCTCTTGTATTCAATAGCTTTTTCTCAGAAGAGATTGTTCCACTTAGCATGTTACATGGTTGGTTGCCCTTTCACTCAACTCTTTGTGTTGCCTTTGCCCTTGATGATGATGGTGCTCCTTACTTTGGTGTTTACTGTTTTCTGTATAAATATTGGTAATACTAGACCATATACCGATATCCCTGCTTTTGTTCACAGCTTCATCTCTGCTTGCAGTGCATATTTCTGGTTTTACTGCCAATGTATCTTTGTTTTGAATTATCTGATAGAAGTGTGAAGCCCACTGATAGCAGTGTGGAGTTGAGGCCATCGGCATTGTGTATCAACATTGCAGACAGATCCTCTGCTCTTGTGTGTGGGAGGCTGGATTCAGTGGGACCAAAGCAAGTGGGGGAGTTCTGCTACTGATTTCAGTTGGGAGTTGGGTCAGGCTTTCATTGCCTAACTTCCTGAAAGCTGTGTTTGCTCGAGGAGTGTGATTGCCTGTGCAGGCACTGGGGTGGAGCAACTGGAGGTGTGTATTTTAGATGTGTGTGAAATGTGCACTGCTTCAAGCTTGGGGTGCTTTCTAGACAGAACCGACTTCAGAAATACTATTTACAGGAAAAACTATAACTTGGCATGTGTCTCACTAGAACTGGAAATTCAGACTATTTTCCCAAACAGTAGAGCCCTTCTGTGAATAATTGAATGAGCTTTGATGGCCTTTATGTCTTAACGTTTCCAGAATTCAAGGCTAAATAATAATGGAATGTTAAAATGTTAAATGTCTGATAATTTGTCCTAAAGAAGTTTTAAAGCAACTGTTTGTTTTTTTAATGTCATTACCATAGAGACAAATTAGACATTTTAGACATAAGCTAATATTTCTGAAGAGTTTCCAGAGGACTTGACTGAAGCACTTGAGTATTTTCAAGGTTGATTTTGGTAATACTAGGTGCTTCTTGTAAGTATAAAAGGTGACTCACCATTTTTAAATGTGACTGTGTTCTAAGAGAGACTTCTGGTAAAGTTCTGTACTCAAATATTTTTGGTATAATGGCATGTTGTGTAAAATCTTTAACTCGGAAATGTGACAAGCTAACTAGTAAAAGACTATAAAAGAGGAGAAAATACTGATTTAGCAGCATAATTTAGATGAAAATTAAATGTTTTAATACATTATTATTTTTGTTTTCTTGATTTTTTTTTTGTTTGTTTGTTGTTGTTGTTTTTTCCTCACTTTTGGATAGTTTAGAAGAAATGAGTTGCATAAAGAGAGGATACCTTTTTATTGGTTCAGGGGGAGGATCCCTGAATAGCAGAGGGAGGAGAATCACTGAGGTAGAACCTTTTGTGCAACCCAGAGAATAGGAAAAAAGCTGGAATTCTATTTTCAAAGGAACTTAGACACCTGCCACCATTTGAACTAATCTGAGTTAGGTATCTGACTCTCTCAGAAGTTTTTATCTTGATAGTAGGTTCTTCTGAGGAGCAAGGCCTTCACAATGAGAAAGGGGAAACAGATCTGATGAGGGAGAAGAATTCTGTGTACAATCCTGCCAGATACTGTAAATATTAACTATTAGGCTCTTTTCAGGGCCTGATTTCTGGGGCTTGTAGTTAGCAAAGAAATGGCCAAGGGAAACTCCTGCTGTAAACCAAAGGAGGAAATAGGTAACTACTTCTAAAAACTGCCTTGTTGTTTATGTTAATGTGCAAAGAATAAAAGCATGTGCCTGTGCTGGTGAAAAATGTTAACTAATCCTGAAGAACAAGATCTGCTGCTTTGGAGGAAGTTATAAGCAGCACTTAGGCACCAGCTAAATTAAAACTCCGGGTCTGCTTTGGTAGATGATACTGTTGTCCTCCCATTGTTGCATTAAAGGTCTGTTGGCATTATGATAGACTTTGGAATTGTTGAGAACAGGTAAATGCTAATCTCTTCTGGAATGTTTCTGAATTTAAGTGTTCTTATGTCCCAAGTTTCTTCTCATCTGCAGTATCTACTGCTTATGCTTACTTGCATGTTTGAAACTCCAAACTGAGGTGAAAATTCTAATGTATTAACTGCAAAAGAATCTGAAAGTCGATGAAGGCAGAGAACAGGTACCTGCTGCAAGAATTTCTTGGTATTAAGAGAAGGCTTTTGGAGGGGAAGAAACTCCAACGTGCTGTGTGGCATGGGAACTGTGTTGTGTTGAAATGCTGGAAGAGTGTGTGCACAAGAATGGAGCTCAAGCTTCTAGGATAAGCATGTGAGGTGATTTGTGAGGGAGAGACACTATTTTACATAGATGGGTGCAAAACCTTTTTTATGGGAGGCATTTAAAGGTATATTAAAAAAACTGAATGATTTAATATTGACTGAAAGAAAAAGAGTATGTAGTTGCAGCAAAAGGACGGAAGTTCTCAATGTTGGAAAATAAACCATAGCTTTGTCTTTTGTCCTTGATGTTGTCCTCCATCAGAGCAGTTCTGAATTGTTCTGTTCTCATCAGGCAGGAAGCTGGTGTGAGACGCAGGTGCTCTTAGGCAGTCTTAGGTTGGACTGTGTCTGTGGGACTGTGTGTCAGTGTGTTACATGAGTGAGGACAGCAGGTAGCCTCAGAATTTGGCTGTTGAGACTTACTCATCAATTCTCTGCTTTTTGTGCTGGTTTCTAATTGCTTTCCTGTGGTTGTGGGGTGAGGAGAAAAAATAATCTTTACGATGTGCCTTGCTGATTCTTTATTTATGCAAGGACATTTGTAAATGTGGGTTGTTCATTTTGTCAGCACCTGGATGATGTTTGGGTGCACTCCTGTTAGATCTTCAGTGTTTGTTTTCACTGTACCTGCCTTCTCAGTGAGGTAGGAAGTCCTGCCTAAACACTGGGGAAGGATGCAAAAAAATATTCATAGAAAGTTGCACTTGGAATATATGGTGACTTTGTTCAATTCTCTTTTTCATTGACTAGAACTGAATAGGCAGTCTGTCCTTTTACTTTCTGTTGTCCAGGGCCAAACTTAAAGTGCTGAAGCCTTCCATGGGCATATTGACAGAAAGTTTTGGACCCATGGCAAGGAAAGCACTGGGCTTGTAGAAGTCACAGGCTGCAGGTATCAGTGTTCAGCAGTTTATAAACTCTTCAGATATAGAGTGGGAGCAAAGCAACTTGTATCAAAGCAACTTGTTGCCGAACTTCAGTTTGTTTGCAGATTATGTATTGGTGTTTCAAAAACTTTCTAAACAGATCTTTCTTTAAAATAACAGTCATAGTTTTAGCTTACAGTAGACACTGCCTATCTTCTCAGGAACAGCAAAGTTGTAGATCAGCTTAATTAGGGTGCATGGCCATAGCATAAGTGTGGATTACTGCTGGAGAGAACCCTTCTCCTCTTTCCCACTTGGTCTCTGCATGTTCTCACTGCTCCCTTTGTGTCTGCACAAGCCGGACTGATGTGTCTGGGCACTGCTCTTGGGAGGAAAGGGGAAGGCTGTTTCTCAGATGTACAGGTTGCCTCACGTGGTGCACTGTCCCTGGAATGCCAGAGTCAGCACAGTGGAAGGACTGGAGCCACCTTTTTCAGCGTGAGCCTCCACATGGCTGGTCTTGATGATTATGAAATTATTGGCTGTAGACTGCAGAGGAATATTCCTGCAGTAGTGCTTTTATTTTTGTAACTTCTGCCCAATCTTCCAACAAGAGCATGGCTTATCAAAATCAGTTTAGAAGCATGTGATATATGTGAATAGTAGGTGAGTCCAGGCTTTAAAACTGGGGACTTTAAACAGACAGTTGTCACCCAGGAAGGAGTTTTTTGGGTTTATGATACTGTTATGTGAAAAATGCAAACTGAGCACTTTTTAGCAATCAGAACTCCAAAACGAGTGTTACCAATTGTTAAGAAAATAATAGGGAGCAAAATAGGAGATATTTAATATAAATCAATCAATAGCACACCTACCTCTCAAGTGCTGAGTGCAGCATTTTGCCCTCCTTTCCCTTCAGAAAGGATGCAGAAGAACTGTAGAATGTGCAGGCAGGGCAGCAGAGGTAATGGTCATGGAAGGACTTTTTCTGGAGATTCTTAGTTCCCTGTGACTATTTCTGTGATGCTTGTTAGTGCAGCATGAGTGCATAGCAACAGTTAATTTATTCATATTGCAGTAATGTGAGGAAGTGTTATGAATTCACATGGAGAGACAAGGAGAGACTAAGTAATAATGTGTCCAGTAACTTTGATCCTACACGTGTCAGCATTTTGGGACACTTTACTTATGCAGGAAGAACATCTCTTCCATTTTCAGAGCTGAATGCTTTGTGTCTCTGTAAATTCAAATTTTTTAAGTATGAAGATGGGGAACTGAAATGAAATGAAATATGAGGAGTCTACTTGGTTTGGCTGAAGAGGCTTAGTGTTATGTATGAGTTTATAATTGAGACTTACAGACCTGGCTTTGGCTGGCTTACTGTGAGGCCACCTTTACTTGTTGAACATGCATCTCTCTCTGCTTTTCTGAAAGCAAACAAGCCCCCTCTTAGCTCTGTATGTGTCCTAGCCTGTCTGTGGTGTCATGCAAGCTAGTTAGTGCAGTACTTGAATGCACATCTTTTTCTGATATGGTAATGCTTAAAATGTATGACACACTGTTCTGGGGGGATGGTGACCCAGACAAAATCTGTAGTAGACTGCCATGGCAACTTTTTACGGGTTGGTGTGACATTATCTGTTATCAGAAGGGCTTGGTTCTGTTCACAGGCTGGCATGGATGAAAGAAGGCTGTAAAGATGCTTGTGTAGTCTGAGCTCCCAGAAAGTCAGAAGTGAGCTTTGGTGAGCATCAACTAAAAGTTCAATTGTTGAACATAATCCTAAAGTTTGGCTCCTGTTTGAGAGCCACTTCCCTCTTACCAGATACTTGGTAGGCTACGTTGCTCTTGGGGTCAGATGACTCCGTCAATATTCCATCTGATGAGGTGAAGCTACTCTTGAATGTTTTTGCACGCTCTTTTCATACCAGTGCCACCAGACAGTAATGTCACAGGCTTTGTTTGTTTCAGAAAAGGTGGTTCTATTTGGGGTGTAATAAAAGGATGGTGTCAACTTGATATATTTATTTTTAAAACAGGATTCTCTGCAATATCCACACAGCTAGGATTGCTCTTCCCTCTGCTTTTCTGCTGACTTCCACACTGCTATGAAGGAAGTGTGTATGGCACAGGTTTGCAGGAGTTTTGAAGCACGGCCATCTGAAGCACTTGTGTGAAGTCTTGTGGAAGTTATTAAACAGAGCTGTGTTTTTTAAAGGATTTCTGACCCAAGTTGTCATGATTCTGGGATCAGCTGTCTTTGGAACCTGGCTTTTCTGGAGAGAGGCGGATGATATGAATATGAGAGTACCTTGCAGAATGCTGTTTCTGCCTGTTTCAAGTGGGGAGTCATGTTCTATTCATTTGACAGGTGGCTCAAATCACAGCAATTCCCATTTCTAATGTTCTGGAAAAGCAAATGTGAGGTACAATGAATTCCTCATGTTCTCAAGTTTACTTTTAACCATGCTCCTGAAGCAACCTATGTTTTCTTCATTCTTTTACTTATATATTGGTAGGGTAAGAAAAAAAATACGCAGCAGTACGAGAACAGCATGAAGCCTTTAGGTACAGTACCAGTTTTACAGACCTCTTTCTTCTCCCAGAGGATGCCAGCCCCCATCAGACTGCGGGAGTTGATCCGGACCATCCGGACAGCAAGAACCCAGGCAGAAGAGCGTGAGATGATCCAAAAGGAATGTGCTGCTATCCGGTCGTCCTTCCGAGAGGAAGATAACACATACCGATGCAGAAACGTGGCAAAGCTGCTGTATATGCACATGCTGGGATATCCTGCACATTTCGGACAGGTAGGTCAGAATTCAGTGCCCTCTGTGCATATGCCAGTCTGCCTTCTGGTTTTGGGCACGTTGACTTGTTCAGAGCATTCCTGCGTGCGGTTTTGCTTTGTTCCTTTGGGATATTTTGAGGTGTGTTTTCATGTATGATCTGCACTTAGATCAGTTAGTTTTGACTTTGTTAGTGATATCTGCTGTTTGGGGGCTTAATGTATTTTGTTTTGAAACTTAGTCTGCTTTTGCCATACTGTCTCCCACCTCACCGCTTGTGTTTCTGCAGAGCAGTGGTGCTTAAACCACAGTCCAAGACAGAGATATTTTTAGATGGGTTCAGAACAGCACTTTGGATTTTTATCTCTGGTGGAAAATACCAGATACTTCAAAGGAGTTTCTATACCCTTTTTCTTCTAAAGCAGACAAGAGCTGGTGTGTTCCCAGCAATCAGAAGTTGTGTTCCTTAACCATCTTAGTGAGGTGACATGGAGAATGCAGGTATGAGTTTTCCACCTCTTGACTTATTTTTGATGTGCTGTTTTTGACACAGATTGTGGAAAAGGGAGACAAGAAGATGTAAGTTCTTGATCTTTGCTCAGTCTTTGGGGCACAGTCTGTTTTGCTTAGAAGTCAGTAAGTGTCCTGTTAGTGGTAATCTAACCTAGGTCTTCAGTAAAGTTGCAGTCAGTCAGATTGTTGTATCCCTTCAAGTAACTTCATGTCTTGTGAGTCTATCTGTTCATGATTGGATTTACCAACCCTGATATGTATCACTGAAACAGTAAGCTCAAACTAGTGTAATCAAAATGCAAATAGTGTTAGGGAGTGAGCGTGGGCTGTGCTTTTCCATATAAAGTGCATCATCTTACTTCTATATCATTGGATTCTTCTCTCAGGATAATGAGTTGTTGAGTAAGAGCAAGTGAATTTGTGCATTATTATGTCTTTAACACTTTTCATAGCCAGGCTCCCTGGTCCAAGAGAGAAACTTCCTGTCACAAAAATTAAGGCTTAAGTATCTTAGAGCTGTAAGAATAATGATAAGTATTACAAATAAGTGTCATTGAGAATTTCTCTGTTTGGTTTATGTTATGAACATGTTTAAATTTCATTCTTTTGTTTTGTTACTCAAGTATTTAATGCCATTCACTTAAGAGTTGGACTCAATGATCCTTGTGGGTCCCTTCCAGCTCAGTGTATTTTGCGATTCTGTAATATATAGAAGATTAGGTCAGATATCAGATATCTAGTAACTTGCAGTTTCTGCTTTGGTCAGTAGTGGTAAATTCACTCTCAGTGAAAGAAGGATAAAGCAGATTTTTCAATATCTGTTGTTGCCAGGATTGCTACATCTCAAGAAGAAGCATCTATTCTGACTGTTTTGGGAGCAGGGCACTTCATTCAATGCCCTTGGTTGTCATGGAGTTTATCAGCTGCACTTTCAGGAAGGCTCCTTCAGGAACCACTTTTCAGCACCCCAGTGCTGAAAAGGGGTTTTAACAAGTATTCTCCAAGTGAGTGACTCTGAGACCTTCGCGTGTCCTCAATGCTTATTACTGGAAGGAATCTTTCAAAATGGTGCTGTTGTGTAGGAGGAGTGTGGTTTGTGTGAGCTGGGGACCTGTTGAGGACACATGCTGTTCCAGCAGTGGAGCAGAGAGACAGTCCTGTGTTGTAGACAGGAAGCTTCTGAGAGTGACAAGATAAATACGCAGGACAGATGTTTTGGTGAAAAACAGGAGAGCCACAAGTGGTGGTAGTCTCTCTTAAGGCTGTAAGCAGCCTGCAGCTAACAGTGTGGGCGGGGTAACCAGGAGTGAATGGTCAGTATTGTTCTTTCGGAGCCAGGGATCCTCAACTTTCACCCAGGATATCTTGTACACAAAGACAAGCATGAGCAAGCTGTCTCTTGAGCATGTGCAAAGGCCATTTGTGCAAGTTCAGAAGTTGTCAGACAGCCCAGACAAATGGTCAAATAACGTTACTATTGTCATTGTGTCTGTTTGCAAAAAAATTGTAGTTGGTAGAGTGGTTATGTCAGTAAAAGTTGGGTAAGTTGTAGTCTTGTTACATGCCAGTACTGTATTAGCTTTGCTAATGTATCTGTTACAGTACTGATGTAGCAGATTTTAATTGTTCCTTTGAATGAAATGGATATAACAGTATCAAGATTTTTTCCACTAATTGACCTAGTAAGAGCTTCAGCTGATCATGTTTCTTAGCGTTGCTGTGCATGTATCTAGTTTGCATGTATTTATATACAAGTAAAGCAAGAATTCATCAGCCTTTCATGGGGTAAACTTCACTAATATCTTTTAAATTCAAAAGTACTAGAAATATATCTTAGAATATCTGTTGCAGTCATCAGTTTTCTTATGCTCTTCCTCAGTCATTCATCTTCTGCCTTTGTTGGCTCTCATACTGTAGCTTAGATGTCATCAATTTTACATTGCATTTTTGCAGAGGATTGTATAAGAAAGTATCTTGTAAAGCCAGGAAAAAAGTTGATTCACAGGTGCATTATTCTCTTACAGAAAGCACAGGAAAGATGAGAGCTCGATATCTAGTGTTCCGTACCTTATCCCTGGTTGATCTTACCCATTTGTGCAAATTCAGTTATCTTTGTGGATGACTGGTCTTATTGTTCAGAGGTGTTTATTCTAGGTTTTCATCCCCTTTAAACCTAGCAAACTGAACTTTCTTGCTTTCAAGCTTTTTCTTACTGGTTTGTCACCCTGCACTAGCTGGGCGTTCACACATGACGACAACTTGCCCAGTTGAGTGTGTGTTCTGATGCCACATGGTTGTGAGAACTTAGCAGTGATGAGGCCATAGCACTTTCTTTCTATGGCACTTCAACTTTCATTTTCTTACCAGTGTCCTGTGCAACTTTCCCCTTGTGATGTGTGTGCTTCTTGCATCTCTCCTGTGCCCGTTGCCCTGTTCAAGCTTCCGTCTAGCTGGGGCCGTGAATCCCTTTTCCCAACACCCTGTATCTCTGCCTGTGCATGCCTCCTTTACTTCCTTTGCAATGGATCTGTTGCCAGCTCTGTCTGACCCCTCCTCAAACTCATGTACACCTACTTGCTGCCCCAGCTAGTTTGTAAAGCAGACTTACAGGAAGTGTTTGTGAGGGAGAGATCTTTACTTTCCTGTCTGGAAAGTGGATGTTGATTATACTTGGTTAGTTTTCTGTTATAGAAAAATATTTTAGTGCATAGTAATGTCAGAATATCTCTGTTTTGGTTTGGGTTGTTTGGTTTTTTTTTTTTTTTCATTAAGAAAGTGCTAAGTTTAAAAATGGGTTAGCAATTAAATTCTTAGCAGAGTGCAAGTGGCAGCTATGTGTGTTGTTTTTGGGATTTCCTCTATGCTATTGGACACAGTTGCTGTTTCTACACAGTGAAGGGAAGTTTGTAGTGGCTACAAAGCACGTGATTTTAGTAGACTTCTGGTGTTCCAGCAGAGATTAAAGAGCAATGCAGAAACTTAACTATCTCTGACAGTCTCTGGTTTACCTAGGTAGCAAGTTAGTTACAGATCATAATAACAAAACTTGTTTTTAGAATCATAGAATCCTAGAATGGTCTGGGTTGAAAGGGACCGTAGAGGTCATCTAGTTCCAGCTGCCATGGGCAGGGACACCTTCTACTAGACCAGGTTGCTCCAAGCCCCGTCCAACCTGGCCTTGAACACTTCAAGGGGTGGAGCAGCCACAGCTTCTCTGGGGAATCTGTGCCAGGGCCTGAGCACCCTCACAGGCAAGAATTTCTTCCTAATAACTAACCTAAACCTGCTCTTTTTTCATTTGAAGCCATTGCCTCTTTTCCTATCACTACATGCCCTTGTTTTGACAACTTACAGAGCATTGATCCTCTCTCTGGTAGATAAATACAGGCTCTTAAGTCTGGTTCAGAAGTTTCTGGTACAGAGTCAACAAGATCTAGATTTCTAGATCTTTACAATTTTGTTTTTAGTGATGGATCTATGATCTCTATAATATGATATCGTTTACTTTTGTGACATGACATAAACCCACATATCTGGTATGTCTGAGGTCATGGAAGGCCAACAGTGTCTGACCACTTCAAGACGCAGGAGCTGCTAGTGACCTTCCTGCTGGCTTGCTGGGAACTTTGGGCAGATCATTTAACTTTTCTTGGTTTTCCACATCACCGAAATGGGAATCAAATACACTTTCAACAATGCATTCTAAGAGACCTATATTAGTATGCATCAAAATTCAAACTGTTTCTTCTCTAGCTAAGAAGTAGTTTTAAGCTAATTGTCTTTTTTTTTTTTCCTCTTTTTTCTTTTTTTTTTCAGTTGGAGTGCCTCAAGCTCATTGCCTCTCAGAAATTCACAGACAAGCGCATTGGGTATTTAGGTGCCATGTTGCTGCTGGATGAGAGACAGGATGTCCATCTTCTTATGACCAATTGCATCAAGAAGTAAGGGTACCACCTCTCTCTCCATCAACACATGCTCTGAGGTTTCAGGATCAGAAAGTACACTCCTGACAGTGATGTTTTGAGTACTTCAGGTTTTTTTCCCCTTGTGTTAGAAAACTGGTATCTTCAATTTGTTGTATGCCATTGACCTTAATAAGGCTGTTGTAGTATTGCACTGTATTGGATGATCCTGCTTCCTTAGTGGGAAGAGAATATAAAATTGCATTGGTTTGGAAGAGGCATATGTAGAAAGCAACACATATTGTCCTGTGTTTGTTTGCTTCTGCTGATGAGCTCTGGAGAGTCGTCAAGGAGCAAGGCTGTGTATCTTACTTTCTCTTTAGGGTTGCCCTGACAGTCCTGATGAATGGTTTTCCTTGGAAGCAGGGCAGCAACTTGGGATGTACTGTCTGTGTGTCATTTTGCTGAAATGAGACAAGAAGGGATGGGAATTAATTTTTTTTTAACACTTTTCTTCTCTCAGCAAAACGATTTTAAACTGGGACTTTTCTACATCATAGTATAGTAAATGACAATTAGTGTGTTTCCAGTAACGTTACTTTCAAGATGGATGGGAGCAGGAGTGGAACAGCTGGGTCCTGGGTGACTTACCCAAAGGCCTGTTTGGTTGTGTGCGGTGTGTCTGTTTTTATTATGATTTACTTTTAGCACATAAGCCTCTCATATATGAGCAAGTAAAGCACTGATCTTCACTTAGACTGTGGCCTCAAAGTGCTTGGAAAGAAACTTGGCAAAACTGGAGGCCTGAGGATCTGCTAACTTTGGACCCAGTGTCCAGGAGATAAGAGATGTTTGTGTAAAGATCTTCCACTGAAATGGCATACCTATGAGGCTCTTCCGTTAGAACCAGGCTGCAGGTTAACACCTTTTGATTGTTTATACTACAGTGAATTTGATAAGGGTGTCGTGAGTTTGAACTGGGAATGGGTCAGGCTGAAGCTGAGCAAAAATGGTGGAGAGCTTCCTACTACCTCCCTGGGTTGTTTATTTATTTCTCCTTTGGCTTTCTGTATCTACCACTTTGTCTTGCTTTTATCTAGACATTAAGGGATTTGATTTATGTCATTGTTTTTAATTATTTTATAGCAAGACCTAGATTTTTGATACAAAAGGGTGAGCACCCTCTTGAAGCAGGTACTTGCTATACACACAGCTTTATGTAGCTGCCAAAAATTTGTTAAAGGAAGGAAACAAAAAACCAACCCATTTAGTAGCATGTGCTATCTGTTCCTTCATCCGCATGTTGCCATAACTACTTGGTGTTACAACCAGGATACTGTTCTCTCTCTGTTCTGCACCTCCTGTGTGTTGGGTTCACCACTGGTTTCCCTGGCTCTTCCATGGTGCAGTCCCCAGCTCCCCTTGCCTCCCAAGCCAGAAGCTGTATTTTTTACTTTCTTCAGCGTTGAATCCTGGGTGCTGTGGCAACATGAGTACCAAACACAGATGGAGAAGTAGTGTGCAAACAGGTTTTAAAGGCTGTTGGGATTGCTGTGTGGAACCTATGTTGTCTTGTGCTTAGTGTGACATTGGTACTTGGCCTCATGAATAGTATCTCCTGTTAGGTGGTTTAACTTCTTATTAACCACTTTTCACAACTTCCTTAGGCATATGAATAGGAAGAATTGCTGAACAGAATTCCTGTATGGTTTATTTTCAGGGTGTGTGAGTGGTGGGGTTTTTGGCTTTTGGTCAGGATAGAGGATACTTTTACGTAGATTCTTCTATCCTGTTTGGTTTGTAAATGCAGGAGCTAAAGTCTGTCCTAGAACATGTTTCATATGGGACAGCCCACAGAGTCACTGCAGGTCTGTACTTCATGTTATTTCTTTTCTGCACTCAAGTTCCAAAATACAATGTTTTGGTTTTAGAAGTTTTAATGGAATTCTGTGTGGTCTTCCTTCTTCTCAGCTCAATCTCTGGATACCCACCTGATAGTTGAGCCAAGTATTTTATCTTTTTAATTGAGGATTCTAAGTAGAAGTAGTAGCAAACCCTGTGGTACATGCACTCAAAGCTGCTATTGTTCCCAAATTGTGCTCCCAAATAGCTGAGAATCTGGAAGGTTCTTTTGGGCCATGCATGCAGCTGGTTAGATGACTGTAGCTATAGATGCCTTTTTTTGTGTGTTATTTGGTTTCTCTGTGTGCATGCTGATTGACTTTTTTTTGTTCTCCTTTACAGTGACCTTAATCACAGCACACAGTATGTGCAGGGGCTGGCACTCTGTACTCTTGGCTGCATGGGCTCCTCAGAAATGTGCAGAGACCTTGCAGGAGAGGTGGAAAAGCTCCTCAAAACTTCCAACTCCTACCTGAGGAAGAAGGTACTTCAGGAAACTTTTGAATACTTTTTTATGTGGATTAAAAGGCAAGATTGATTGAATACCCTGGTAATATCTGGAATATTAGATGACTGAGGTGACAGTGGCTGAATATTTTCCCATTGTGCAAGACAGAGCTCAACACTCCCTGTCTGTCGATAGCAGGAATGTGTGTAAGCCTCTAAAAGACAGGCCTCCAATGGGTGAGGCAGTTGTTTGTATTTTTGTACTCTCTATCCTAAAGTTATTGATGGTAATGTGAACACCTGACCCTCCACAGACATTAGCCCCAAACTCATGGTCATCAGTTTTATTCCTTGACAGATAAGTCCAGAGAAACTTTAATTATTAGCAGTGCAGACTGGTATCTGAAGATTTGGACCTATTTGGTGTCTTCTGTTGATGATGGTGGTGACAGTAGTAAGAGAGCTAGAAAGGTTAAGGTCTTGAAATGTGAAAACACAAATTTTCTTATTTCTGCAGCAAATGTGCCATAACATCTACAGAGTGTGATCACCCTCCTTCTTCTAGATTTATTTACTGATAAATTTTGGGAAGAGTGTGGAGCTGTAAGATTTAGGAAGAGGTGCATTGTTACTTCTTTGTCTAGTGCTGGATCTAGAGAGAGATTGGAGAGAAAGCAAAGCTAAGAGGTATTGCTGTATTCTGGGAAGAGGCCCTTAGTGCAGTTCTCAAGCAGCTGCAAAGAATAGTTTTTCCTGTTGCTTTGGCATCCTAGAAAAAAGAGGCTTTTTTTTTTTTTCTCCAAAAACCCCTGAAAAGTATACTTTTGTTTCTCATAGCACCCATCACCTACAGGAGGAAGTTATTTTGTGGGGAAGGAGATGATATTCAAGGGAAAGTAAATGAGCCATAATTTGGCATAAGTTTAATTATTTGCTTCCAATGCATTATCTCTTCCCTAGCAATAGGAAGACAGGCTGAAGTAGCCCTGTTAAAGGCAGAGTTGCTTTACAGACAGTAGAACTTCTGATGTGAATAATGCAGAAGTGAACCGTTGCTAGTGGGAGTATTAGCTTGTAGCTCAGTGCTCCCGCACCTCAATTCATGGTAGTTTTATTGAACATTCTTCTGTGATGCTGTTTAGTGAAAAAATTTACCATAAACTTTCCAGACCTTTGTGTATCATGAAGTCTGTGACAGTTCCCACTATGGCAGATGTTCTCAGAAGGGGTATTGTTGTCATTGCAGTCTATACTAACTGAGGTGTTTTTCCTATCCAGGCAGCCCTGTGTGCTGTTCATGTCATCAGAAAGGTGCCTGAACTCATGGAGATGTTCCTGCCAGCCACCAAAAACTTGCTGAATGAGAAGAACCATGGTAATAGCTGAGAGAGTACTTAGGAAGGCTGGACCATTCTCTACAGGATAGTGCACTCACTACCTAAGCCTTTAGTTTGGAGGGAACTTTTGAGGTCTATTTGCATGATTTGTTTCTTCCCATTTCTATGCAATGAAAACAAATGTCATTCAGAAGGAAGGGATGTGTAGGACTCTGCTAGTCAGCAGGACTTTTACATGGCATAGGTGAGAAAAGGAACTCTCTCGCTGTGTTTTGATACACTTCAGAGTAGTGGGTGAAATGGGAAAGTTTGGGATTTTTATGCAATACACTGCCTAAAGTGACTCTAAAGTGCAGTTTTTAGGTTTGGTTGTTTGGGGTTTTTTTTGTGTAGTCTTTCTCTAGATGGAGTTGTGAGACTGTCTGAGGAATGCCCAGTCCAGGTCACATAAGGTCAGCTAGGCTACCTAAATCAGAAGAGAAAATCAGGAAATATGAGAAACCCAACATCCACAATGCCACTGACACATATTGTCCTTCTGGAGTCTTTTGTTTGTACAGAATTGTAGAGTGGTAGGATTTAAAAGGGTCCTTAGGGGTCATGTAGCCCAACTATGTCTGTTACTGTATGTTTAGTTTATGGAAATTTCTGCAGAGCAAGTCCAGTTTCCCTCCTCCTTTGGCCTTTAGTTACAGATCTAAGACATGAGCACATTGCTATCTGCCTCCCCTTGGGCACAGCTGCAATCACAAATACATGTAGTGGTAGATATGTTGAATTCAAGAATACTATTTTTTTAATGATTTCCTGTTGTTTTCTTATGATCTTTGTCACGTGTCTGGAGCCAATGGAGTTATGTTAAATGTAGATACGTTTTTCTTTTCCCCACCTCATGTTTAGGTGTTCTTCACACATCAGTTGTCCTTCTCACAGAGATGTGTGAGAGAAGCCCAGACATGCTTGCACACTTTAGAAAGGTAAGTGTGAACTGCTAATATTGCAGAATTAATATTCATGGCCTTTTAATAAAATCCTTACAAGTCTTTGGGTGTAGACTTTAATGATACTGTCTGCTTGTTATCTAAATTTTTTTAAAAAGGTATTAAATGTGTGAATCTTGTGTGTATCTAGCCTAATCTCCTTCAGTAAATTGGGTAAATTACAGAACATCAGTCTTAAGATTGTGCAGTATAAAACATCCTAAAGTTAGATTTGAAATGTTGCCTTTGTTGGTCCCTTAGGGTTTTTTCCAGTCTTTGTATCTAATTGCATAGTGACACTATAATCACAAATGTAACAAACATAAAGAGACAAAGATGAAAAACCAAAGCTTATGCCAATACCTGAATGCCTTAACCACAGCCACACAATTGTATAAACTCAGGTCAAAAATACCCATGAGAGTGCTATAGATACCTCATGGCTGGTTCAGGCTGTACTACATCATTTTCCATTTTAACTTAAGGGTTTGAGAGTCAGTGTCACTCTTCCTCCTCTGGTTAGGAATGTTTGCTTCCCACCACCCCCTGGACTTCATTTTTTGCTATAATTTGCTGAGAATATTATTGCCAATAGAAGGGCATCTTAAAATTGCCTTGATTGTCATTTTGACTTCTTGGTCAAAGAAGGAGAAACTGAACAAAGCTGGTAGAACAGAACTGGCCATTTGCTCCTCTGAAAAGTCTTAAAGGTGTTTGTTTATTTGCATGCCCAGTTTACTGTTCTTGGCTTGTCTGTATCATTAGGAATTTCAAACTGTGCATCCTTTGGTGCATTTTCCCTTGCCCTGATTGCATATATCAAAGCAGGAATGAAACTCGGATGAGGTTCATTTTGCGGGTACCATCTCTGCTGCTAATGCTCAGTTAAGATGATAGATATGGGAAAAGAAGGAAGAGCTGAGTCCACAAAATTTAGTTACTAGGTACATTGTTTAGTTACTAGGTACATTTCTTATGGTTGTTTATGCTGTGAATGGTGCAACATCGACCTGTGCCTAATGCTTGCTTTGTCTGTTTTGTCCCTTTTGTCTGTTTGGAATCCTGCTGAGTTAGAATGAAAAGGTAAGAGTTAATTTTTCTAGATGGTGCATGTTTGCCTTGAATCTGTAGATGTTTGTCCCTTGTGAGGCAGTGCCTGTTAATGACACATTTGTGATTGCTGCATGCTTAGATCAACTGTACTTGTCTAATGCTCTTTGTATGCTGATCTTGTCACTTAAACCTCTAGACCCATGGCAGCCCTGAATCTCAGTTGTGGCCTGTTTTCCTCGCTCTCTCTCATTTGAGGAATACTTCAGGGAATTTTTTTGTACCTGTACAAACTGTAGCCCTGGACTTTCTTTGTTTCACAAACTTGGCCTTGTGTTTTGCCTGAATCATGGGGCAACCTTGGGTGATTCCCAAAAGGGAGCAGGACAGACAGGTGTTTAGCTGCCTCTAGGAGGCTGTAAAGCCTTACTGTGCTAAAAAGAGCTACCAAGTCCAGCTGCAGTGCTGATATTCTTCATGGTTATAATTTGTACTCCAGAAGATAGGGGGGCAGCCCTCAACTGATCTCCAGGGCTGTAATGTTTCTCTCTGTTTGTCCTCAGTCCTGATAACTCTTGCATGTTGGAAGGCAAAGAAAATGTTCATCAGGGTTCTAGAAATGCTCTGCTTGTCTTTGTCTTGAGGGAAAATGTTGCAGCACCTTTTGATTTCCTCTTTAAGGCAGTATAGGAAATTCAGGGTTGCTTTTGTTTGTGTGTTTAGTTAAATGCATGTTTTCAGAGTAGTATGTATGTCCTGAAGAGCAAAGGTAGGAACAAAAAGAGATGATGGGGAATCTCAGCTGGTTTTCTTCTTGCACTGTACCACAAGTGTAGATTTAGTACTTTAAAGATACAATATGGTGCTCCAGTCCCAGCTTAACTGTATCTAGTTGTGCCTTAGCTGAGCTGTAAGTATTCATACAGCATCAGCTCTAGCTGTGCAGGTTGAACTTTGTGGAAGAATCCAGACTGACTTGCTTTCAAATACAAGATTTGTTCTTGGACCTGTGCTTCAGAGCTGGGATTGGGGAAAGAACAACACTCTAATAGAACAACTCTCTTCTTCACAGCTTGTTCCCCAATTAGTTCGTATTCTGAAGAACCTTATCATGTCTGGATATTCACCAGAGCATGATGTGTCTGGGATCAGTGACCCCTTTTTGCAGGTAAGAACTGATGCAAAGTGACTGATAGCTTTAATTCTAGTACTGTGTTTTGAGCCTTAGGTGTGATGAGGTGGCGATCTCAGGGCAGCTGTGTTGATTTTAAGATTTTTGTGACTTCATTAGAGCTGATTGTGAAAATGCTCTTCATCTGCCCTAGTGAAAGACACCTGCCTTAGTTTAACCAGCAGTTGTAGTGCCTTACCCCACCCACGTCATGTGACAGAAGAGAGAAGCAGCAGCATGTATTGGTCTCGCAAGGCTGTGCCTGGTAGTGAGGGGGCTCTGAACGGTTCTGGCTAGTGGGAAGAAAATGAGCACAACATAAGCATGTTCTTATTGATAAAGGTCTTACTCAGGATAAGCATTTTGCTTAAGAATGGAAATCAGCATCTTGTTTTGCTTCTTTGCCACTCCTCATAAAGTGTACTGGGCATTTCATGACCCATGTCAAGCACTGCCATCCAATGAGCTTTTCTTTCCTTTATTTTGTCAAATAGGTACGAATCCTGCGGTTACTAAGAATTTTAGGGAGAAATGATGATGATTCTAGTGAAGCAATGAATGATATACTTGCACAGGTGAGGTCTGAAAGGTTGATGAGCGGTTTAAACTCTCTCTTGGTTTTTTAATAATTTGGATTCAGCAGCTCTGGGGAGGATACAGCTGCTTGTCATGGTGGGTGGAATTTTGCTGAAAGAGATGCGTGTTCACAAGTGTGATGCTGTTTGCTAGGGATTAGTTACTTTCACTGCTTGTTCTGCACAACAGCACAAAGGGGAACTGCTTTGCTTGTGTTGGAGTTGCTTATTTTGTTTTCTTTCTTCAGGTTGCCACTAACACAGAAACAAGTAAAAATGTGGGAAATGCCATTCTATATGAGACTGTGCTGACTATTATGGACATAAAATCTGAGAGTGGCCTGAGGGTAAGTTGCCTTTGCTATAGCCTGTGTTTTTTTCCTAGGATTGTGTGTTAGAGTAATTTGTTTGAAGGGCATGAAGCAAGGTTGTTTCATCCAAACACAGCTCTGCAGTTGACTCTAAATAAGACTGTAGCCTTTTCAGAAAGTGGTGTTTGTTTTTGGTTTGGGGGTTTTTTAATAACAAAAATTAAAAAGCAGAACTTCCTGCAGACTGTGTTTCCTTGAGTGCAGGTGAGAGCCTGTGCTCCTGTTTCTTAGCTTCTCCTCTGCTTAGGCAGCTCTTGGAGTTCTTTTTGGCTAAGAACCACAATGGTAGTTTCGACATCTTGCCTTTAAGATCACCATGAGATGATGAAGATGACCAGCAGCCTTTTTAGATCACTGACCTTCCCTATCTCTTTCTGCAGGTCTTAGCCATTAACATCCTAGGCCGTTTCTTATTAAACAACGACAAAAATATTAGGTAAGTTGTACAAAGCATGTTTTGACAACACCCAGTTTAAAATGTGTGAGAAGCAATTACATAAAGATGATGCTGAGGTGGAGCTTTCCAGGAGACCCTGTTGGGATCACTGCTGTTGGGATTAGTGTGGCTGTTGAGCTTGCTGCTTTCTTGATGCATTCTTTTTCTCTGTGCAAGTCTTAACTGTGGCCCTGCCCTTCTTAGTTGATAAGCCTGGGTGTATGATCTAATTCTTAACGTGTGGTTTTTAATCAGGTCCACCTTTTTTTCCAATAACCCGTGAATCCCCTGTGTTGTCCCAAGTAGTCTGTGGTGCAATTCAAATCGGAGATGGCATTGGAGATCTGACAAATTAGGCAAAGACTGTGTGCTGGTGGAAACAAGGGAGTTCAGTTGCGCTTTGGTCACTCTTAACCTGGACATGGAATTGCTGTAACTGCTAGAATTGAGTCCCATCTCTACAGGCAGTTGGATATGGCAAATCATGATATGGGTCGCAGATTTCGGCTGTGGGAATTGTGACTCGTGCTAGTTTGAGTGTAAGATCCATGGATGTCTAATCTTTAATTGCCCTATTTTTCAAAATCTTTTTGAAGGCTGGACAGCTGATCTGAGCCCAGGAACTGGGGCAGGTGCTTGTCTAGGCAGTGGGGTGTTGTTAGGCACGTTACAGCTTAGTGTGGTAACTCACCTGTGAAGACAGGCCAGGCATCCCCTGGAGGATTTCCATTTGTTACTGAGTACAAGAGAATCCTGTTCTGTTGGAAAATAAGACCAGGTTTGGGGCAGGGGCAGTGTCTGTGCACAGAAATCAAATGGCTGCTGTCAGCTACTGATGACTGTGTGTCCTTGTCGCAGATATGTAGCTCTGACGTCGTTGTTGAAAACGGTGCAGACAGACCATAATGCAGTACAGCGACACAGAAGCACCATTGTGGACTGCCTGAAGGATCTGGATGTCTCCATTAAAAGGTAATCGAAGTCTCAGTGAAATAGACTCTCGAGGTTGACAGCCTATGGAAGGTGAGCAGGGCATAGGGGAAAATGATAATCCTGGGGAACCGTTAGTGAGGTGAGTATGAAGATATAGTTTGGTTTGTAATTCAAAGAAGGTAATGAAGGTGTTTCCTTCTTTGGAAAGCTGCTGTTACATTTCATGGGGAAAAAAAAATTTCTGTTTGCCTGAATTTTTCCAAAATGGAATCTCATTGGAGATCAGATTTGTGTGCTCTCAGTGAGATGGAAAACCTCTGTACAGTATGATCCTGATCAAATCTACTCTGATGTGTTCCACCTTGTTTTTCTTTCCCAGATGAACAGGCAGTGCCATGTTGTCATGAAGCAGTGTTAAGTCATCCAAATAATGTATTCTAGATTAAATGGATTAGGCAGTGGTAGAATTGAGACTAAACTTGATTGTTCAAACAATTTGCTTACAAACTGCTTACTGTTATCATATCCTTTTATTGTTCTTTGTGTTCATTTGTCATTTAAATAGTGGTATGTTGCTGCTTCTCTGGCCAATGGGAAAGCTTGCTATCATACTTCTCACTACAGAAATACTTTTTGTCATATACTCAGTCTTAGCTTCTTCCTCTGTTTCTTCACCCAGAGGGTGGTTGGGCACTGGAACAGGCTCCCCAGGACAGTGATCACAGCACTAAGCCTGACAGAGATCAAGAAGCATTTGGATGATACTCTCAGGCATATGGTGTAACTCTTGGGGATGGTCCTATGCAGGGCCAGGAGCTGGACTTGATGATCCTTGTGGGTCCTTTCCAACGCAGCATATTCTGTAATTCTGTGATTCTCATTACTTCAGTTATGTTCCTTTTACTCATAATAGTACCTTTCTCCTGTTTCTGTCAGTCACTCATAGAAACTTTTGCCCTGCCTGTGTGGAATGCTGCTCTTCTAAATTGAGTCTTTCAGCCTGTCAATTCCTAGTTCTTTCTTTCAGAACTTTCTTCCTTATCATTATTCTTTCTGTAACTGGGTTACAAAGAGGGATCTGAGCTCAGTACAGCATACAACATGCAGTGATGGGGACAGTGGCACCCCTGTTGCATTTGTGGAATCTCTGCTACAGGCCAAAATTTCATTAAGCTTTCATCACATCATATACCTTCAAAATATACCTTAAAAATTGCTCAACCTCTTTTTTCCATCTACTCAGACTGATCAGATACCCTATAGATACTTGTTCTTACAGGCATTCTTCAAATTTATGCCCATCTTTGAATAAGATCTAGATTTTTTTTAAAAATCTACTCAGTCTAATAGGTAAAGAATAGGGAAGAAAGTGGATTTGTCTTGCTTCTGAAACTTAGTTTAAACTGTTATGTAATGGGTATCATGTAAACTATTTTTACAGTTGCAATCTATGCCAAAACACAAATTTGTATCTTAAATGCTGAGCAAGTCTGGCTGCTGTTGCTGTTTGGTATCAGACTCAGTAGAGGGCTAGGCTGTAGAACAGCAAAGCCCCATTGAAGTTTTGAATAGAAGGCAACAAAAGCATTTTATTGATGCCTGCTAGGAAAATACTACTGAGCTTCATGTCTGAGTGCTGTTGGAGGATGAAGCCTTTGAGTGATCCATCAGCAGAGCACGATGTTGCCATGCTGACACTTGTGCTGCTGACAATGCACTTCTTCACTGAAGCAATATATTGACTGCATGTGTGTCAGAGTCCCCAGGTAGCAAGTTCCAAGGGCTGGGACTTGAGGGAAAGACATGATCCCTGGTTTTGGTTATCTGAAGCATGGTGTCTTCTCATCATGTAACTGTTGCAGTGTGTCTTTGGTCCATGTAGTATAATTCAGAATGGCTTTGCTATTTAATTCAAGTCTTTTTGTCTGCTTAATATGATCAAACTACATGATTAAGAGCTTCATGACAGAAATGAAACATGTAATATGACTGAAGGTAAGAAATACATGCTGAGGTAAATGCCTGGTACTAAGATTACAGTGTACTCCTGTGCACTTGCAGTGTTGCTGTATCTGCTATAATGTGACTGAAAATTTAAACATAAATATGTAACCCAGTATGGTCAGGTGCAAGGAGTTGGGAACCAGTTGGAGGGATGGAAGTAATTCTAATAATGGTCTAGGTCATCAACTAGACACATGTTTAAACGTTAAAAGGTAACAATTTAGTTAAATATTTCCACCCTAAGTCTGAACGCCTCTGTGTTTTCTCAGTCCCTGAGTATTAGTTGGGTAAAAGGCAAAGTAACACATTTACAATTCACCATTCTGTAGAAATCCTTATTACAGTAATAACTAGGAAGATGTTGAGAAGCAATGCTGTCTAGATGTTCTCAGATTCTTGAGAACAAATAACTTGTGTCCAATACCATTTTAAAGATCAGTCAGGGTTGTTTAGTGAGCCTGCTTTAATGCATTTTAATTTAACTATTGCAAAGTTGTGCAGAAATTAATCTACTTTTGAAGCTAGTAGTCTTAATTCAAAAAATGTCAGAAGAATGAGAGACCTGTGCTAGAATCAACTACAGAAGCTTCAAGTAGAAAGGCCAAGGAATAGGCTCTGAGCTCTGGATATGCGCCAGAAGGAACAGCAGAGAACTGGTACTCTTGACTAGTTGTGGTGTCAGCCTGTCTGTAGGGAGGAGGAATGAATGGAGCACCAGCGTAGCTTTGGGTTCTAGAAATCTTACATAGTCTATCCAACAGTGTACAGTGAAGCTTATCAATGAATACTTTAAATCTCTACTGTATATGAATCTCTAATATATGGATTGGAAACAGGTCTCTTCTGGATCCCTGAATCTGGAGAAAGCATGTTATAACGTGGATTAGTTGTTGCACTTGTGTGTCAGAAGTGACCAGCAAGTGATTACAAACACTTGGACAGCCTGAGTTTAATGCTGATGGACTCTGGTTGCTGAAAGATATTGCCAGCCTTAAGGACACATGGATAGATGTTTCTAGAATGCTCCGCACCCTCGCTCCCCCTTAGTTTTTTGGAGGGTGGGTGTTTATTGTCTGCCTATGAACAGGAAAATACTGGCACATTTAGTGTGAAAGGCTATTCCCACAGAATTAATAAATATTACTCTCTTCTTAATTAAAAGGCAACTTTGTTTTTGTAGCTGGACTTGTGGTTTGTGGGGTTTTTTCTTCCTTCACTAGGTGAAGATACTTGATTGGTTTTCTGTCTCTTGCCCTAGGCGTGCAATGGAACTGAGTTTTGCTCTTGTTAATGGGAACAATGTCCGTGGAATGATGAAGGAGTTGCTGTATTTTCTAGATTCCTGTGAGCCGGAGTTCAAAGCAGACTGTGCATCTGGAATATTTCTTGCAGCTGAAAAGTATGGAGTCATTTTACTTGCTATTAATTTTTGGTACATCCTCAGAATTGTGAGCATCTTGTATATTGTTCCTTCCCTTCCCCACTCCCCAAGAGAGAATGTGTTGATCATTTCTTCTCCGTTTGATCTGTGAGTGGTTTATCAGTTGTAGCCCACTCTGAGGAACAGGATACACTAGTGTGGGTGTCCCCCCTCAGGAAGCAGTGGGCCAAGAAATAACTGAGGGGAGATGTTATGATGATGATGAGTTTCTTGCTGGTGTTGAAGGCTGGCAGTTATTCCTCCAACTTGTTTTCTTAATTTTGTCAGATATGCTCCTTCCAAGCGCTGGCACATAGACACGATTATGAGAGTCTTAACAACGGTAAGTGAAATTGCCTCTCTACATAAAATTTTCTTAATTCTTTAGGAAGTTACTCTTCATCAAGTTGGAGATGGCTATAAAGGCTGGCAGATAATAAACACAGAGGAAGTGCACTTACGATAGTGACCCAAGGCAACCAGTCAGAAATATGTAAACTCAGTAAATATGGCTGAGTGGTTTTTTAGAGGAAATGTATGATTTCAGAAACACACAAGAATAAGAGCGTGTAGCAGAGGATTTCTACTGCAGTAGTCACATTAGCTTCTAAGTTAGGACAGCTCTTGTCCTGTCTGATTCCAGTATATAGTGCTTTCAGAGGAGAGTGAACGCAGCCTTAAGTGACTTGCAAAGAGAAAGGGGGTGAAGCAGTTTCTTGGAATTATTCTGAGTTTATCAAAGCTTATTAATGAAACTTCAGTTCCTCCTCTTTGTGTTTAATTATTACTCTTTACCTACGTTATTTATAAACATCATAGCTGAGGTGGAACTGGAGTATTGTTTTGGCAAACAAGGGAAGAGATCTTGATAACTTGGGTAAGACAGTGTGTTCCCTCAGGCAAAGGAGTGGGAAGAGATTTATCAGTATTTGTGTTCAAATTTGAGAAGCTCATCAAGAAGGGAGTCTGGCTTGTGTGCTGTTTTGCCACCCTGAAACAGAGAAAAGTAGATTCCTCTGAACTGAGAATCGATTTCCATTAGAAGGTTGGCTGTGAGAATTGCTCTCAGATGACCTCATTCAATAAAGTAACTTCCTTTTCTTGACTGCTAGAGAAACCTTGTATTATAACCTCTTGCAATTTCAGGGTATCTATAGTATGGATTTCTCTGGGTACAGTTTTGTTCATTGGTAAATGAACAGGCTGTCCTGTACTTCTGCCTCTCTGAGCCTGCTCAAAATCAACCATAAAGTGCTCACAGATCAGAAGGCTGATTTTTATTTCCATGCACATCAGGTGGTTTTGTGAAAGGTAGCAGCAGCTGCTGGGTGTTACTGAGAAGGTGGATAGTAAAACCTAACAATTGTTCTTGCAGGCAGGAAGTTATGTTCGTGACGATGCTGTTCCCAATCTGATCCAGCTAATAACCAATAGTGTGGAGATGCATGCCTACACTGTGCAGAGACTCTACAAAGCCATCCTTGGAGATTACTCTCAGGTAAAACCAAACATGGCCAGCTTCATTTTCCTTGTTGTACTGCAATAAATATGCATTTTTACTAAGCATCTCAAGGTAAGCCAACACCACTCTGTCTGGCTCCAGGGGACAGATTGCAGAGAAGGCATGTTTTCTATAAGTTCACATTTTTAGTTTCTTCAATTCTCTTATAGAATTCTTGATCAAATCAAACATTCCTCTTTTTTCTGCTGTGGAGAACTTCCTTCACTGGGAGGAAGACTAAGCTTGCTCTTGGAAATGAAGGTGGTTTAATTTATCATACAGGCATCCATTTATCTCTGAGGCTTCTTTGGTTTTTCTTCCAACAGCAACCCCTGGTGCAAGTGGCCTCCTGGTGCATAGGAGAGTATGGAGATCTTCTGGTGTCCGGTCAGTGTGAAGAGGAGGAACCAATACAGGTATAGCTTGAGAAAGAACAGCAGTGGTATCCCTGGCTGAGGCTGGAGCTGCTTGATGCTGGCTATGTGAGGGGAATGCTTGCAATAATTCCTTAGCATTAATGTCTGTGATGGTGATGGACTCTGGGCAGGAATCTCCTTCCCCTGCTGCAGGCATGGACTGTGTAAACACTGGCTGTGTGGAGTGCCGCTGCAGTTGGCAGAATGGTGTGGTTTCAGTGCTAACCTGCCTTGCACGGAGTCTGCCAGTGTCTTAGCTGTCTATTTTGGTGATAAACCTGCCCTTATATGTGTGGAACAGGAACTGTATTTTAAAATTTGTACCATGAGATTTCCACCTGGATGCATCTGTCTCACGCTTTGAACATAATGCTATGGGCTCAGAGTTGCAGAGGAGGTGTGACATGGCCATTAAGCAAGAGACAGGTTTTTACAGTATGCTCTGGCAGGCTTGCTGCAAAGCTCCTCTCTGTCTCAGCCTAACCTCTCTGTACCTTTTCAGGTAACAGAGGATGAAGTTCTTGATATTTTAGAAAGCGTCCTGATATCTAATATGTCTGCATCTGTGACACGAGGCTATGCTCTCACTGCCATCATGAAGCTTTCCACAAGGTTCACCTGCACTGTCAAGTGAGTTCTCATTGGTGGTGTACTGCACAGGGCTTTGTTGCAAATATGCCGGCATCAGTTGTCTTCAGTAGGAGTATTCCTTGAATATGTTCTGCTTCCATGGGTTACAAGAGTCATCCTGTTACTTGTTGGCTTTTAGAGTCCTCCTTTGCTCACTGAATGGAAGATGTCTGCTGTTTGTACTGTTTTCTCTATGGATGTCCTCTACTATATGGGACTTAATCCATGTTGCCATTTCTTGAAAACTCCTTATGGGAAAGAGAAGTCCTTACTTTCAGTGGGCTGTTCTTTCCAGTTCCTTTTTCGGATGATGGGGAGAAAAATAGCCTTGTTTCCTCTTGGAGGCTCCTTGGTGTGGGTAGTTGAGCTTTTTTATGCTGTACCTTAAGGTGGTGTGTTAATCACCTGCTGATGATGTTGTGAGAGGACAGTTCAGATACGGATATTGCATGGATACTGCAGGGACTGCTGTGTTACATGAGTTACAGGGGACTTGTGTTGAGCAGAGGCCAAGTAGCATCTTCAGGATGACACATGCTAATCCCTCTGTTATTGCTGATAATTCCGTGGTGTGTTTGTTTGTTCCCCCTGCCCCAACAGTCGCATTAAGAAGGTAGTTTCCATCTACGGCAGCAGCATCGATGTGGAGCTGCAGCAGAGAGCCGTGGAGTATAATGCACTTTTCAAGAAATATGATCACATGAGGTAAGTACTGATGAGTTTTGGTGTTTGAAAAGGGTCATTTTAATGTGTGCTGATCTCCTGTTGATGACACTCCGGGCTTTGAGAACTTTGTCTGGTGATTTTGGTAGGTTTACAGGGGAACTAGAATCCCTTCTCCATCTATAGGGTTAGTGAGTGTTTTAAGGACTTAATGTACCCTGCGATATTGTTCTGTGATCAGAGACTTTCTCTGCCAAAACATTTGTCCTGCTTTGAGCCTGAGCTTGACCGATTTTTACTTCTCGGTGTTGAATCTTAAATTTCCTAGGTGAGTTAATACCTGCAGGTAGCTTCTACTGTACTAGCGTTACTGGAGTCATTAGGTTCAAACTGATCTTAAAATGCTTTTGGAATAAAGATGGAGAGATGCATTGACCTGTCCTCCTAAGCTGTTTTCTGAACTAGTAGTAATTCTTCCGACTATCAATACTTTTCAGTTTTTTAGAACATCTTTTTCATTTACTGTATCTTCTTGTAGTATCTGTTTAAAATCTCAAATTCTGCATGGAAAGGCATGCTATTTCACTGCACCACTCAGCATCCCTGTTTTACAATTAGTGAGCATGGTAACCTTCTTACACCATATCATTCAGAGGTCTCCATTCATAATTGTCTTGCACGAGTGATTGTTTTTCTATGAAGCAGTTAAAGCCTTGGTTTCTTACAGTAACTAAAACTGTTTATTCTTAGCAGAATAGTCATTAATCTGCTATGTGCAGTAGTTAATTGTTGATATCTAGGAGCACCACAGATTGTTCTATTCAGTGAGGACCATAAATTTGGAGGAGATTTGCTGGGGATTAACTTCATCCACCCTTGAAAACTTTCCTTAAGATACCACCGGATGAAATTTTAGAATTTAGAGGAAAGATAAAATGGATGCCACTGGACTAAATATTGCTTGTGTTTGTGGGGACTTCTAAACCTTGTTTGAAAGGCTCTTCACGATCACATTTTTCCATAGATACCGTCGTATTCACTATGTGTAGGACACAACATCCTTGTGACTTCCTCTTTTCTCTCCCCCTGTAGTATCCATGCAGCAACTCAAATTGTTCTTAGATAAGTCACGTTAAGGAGCAAGAGCATGTGAACTGCCTGGGGCTTCCATGGAGCCTTATGAATGAGTTGAGAAAAATCCAGCATGAGGGCCTTTTGATCTGAGCTGACCATTGCAGCTGACAGTGTCTGGTCATCAGCTTGGCAGTGTTTGCTGTTCCCAGTTTTGGGAGGCATTGCACTTCAGGAATATATATGTGAACTTTGTTCACTTTTACAAGACAGCATTTGTACTTTTTCCCCCGGTGTATTCTGCTGCTCATGACAGTGTAAAGGTCAATGTTTAGTAGTTTCTGCCCATTAAGACTGTTCATGGTCAAAAACGTAGCCAGCCCATTGTTGGGTTTATTGGCACCGGAGCACCTTTTCAGCTCCAAGATGTGTAGACAGTGTGGCTTGCCCCTGTTACATGCAGCACTTTATGGCTCAATCTACAAGGGGTTTCTTATATTTACAGACTAGTTCTCCCTGTGTCAGGATTCAGGATCCCATGCCTCTTCTTCAGTCCCTGTGTCATTTCAGGAGGGTACTCTCAGAGGCTGAACGTCCATCTCTTTGGAAACTTAATTTGGCTACATGAGAGCATGGTGACTGCTTTTCCAGCTTTGCCACCTGTTTTAAGTGGTTAACCCTTCTGCAAAGATAACTCAGATGAGCTAACTCTCACTTACCTGCATATGGGACAGAGCAGTCAAGTGGCCCAGGTCTGCAGCTAATCCACCGTTGCTCAGTTATGTAATTTTTATCTTGGATTTGTTATCCTAGCCCCATAGTGGAAACTGTCTCAGGTGCTGGGGGAAAACCTGAGACAGGAGGGCTCCTTTGGTTTTTAGCTGTCAGCTAATGTATTTACAGTGGCACAGAATGCCAGGGATTGCTTCTGACCACCTCAAGCTGTCATGCAATCTTACTGGTCCCCTGCATTGGAGCTCAAAAGAAAAGGCAGGTTGCCCTGTGTAAATCATCTCTTGAATGTTTAAGTAATTGGATTGAGATCCAGGAAGATGGCACAGTGTAACTATGTCAGCTTCTTTCAGGCCAGCACTGCTTGAGAGAATGCCAGTAATGGAGAAAGTCACCACAAATGGCCCTACTGAGATTGTACAGACCAACGGAGAGACAGAGCCAGCAGTACTGGAAACCAAACCTCCACCCTCTGGATTGCAGCCTGCCAGCCAGGTAACTGAAAGTGACTTGGGATGAGCTTCCACTACATGTAGATCACACTCTAGCCACTGCCAACAGTAAACTGAAACCATCTCCCTCCCCCTCTCTGCCTCTTTGCTAGTTCTGACTGGTGGTGATAGATCATGGCTCTGCTCTGATGGCTCTAGTGTCCAGAACAGCTCTGTTGGTTGTGGTGCTAATAATGCCAAGGCCGTGGGTCTGATCCCAGTATGGGCCGTTCATTCCAGAGTTGGACTCTATGATCCTTGTGGGTCCCTTCCAACTCAGGATGTTCTGTGATTCCCCAGCCTGTCTCCATGTGCACGAGCTCTTTCCTTCTCTAGCTCTGTGGTCCCATGAGCATGGAAACAAGATCTCTTGTGGGGTGTGGGATCACAGTGAAACTAAGAAGCCCTGTGACTGGCCAGCAGCTCTGTCGGTCTTCAGTTTGAGAACAAGTAGAATCCACTGCACTAAAAGAGAAAGTAGCAGAAAGTTGAATATATGTAACTATTACATCCTCTTTCTCATTAGGCAAATGATTTATTGGACTTATTGGGTGGAAGCGATATAACACCTGTAATCCCCACTGCACCTACAAGCAAGCCAGCCTCTGCTGGTGGGGAGCTCCTTGACCTCCTGGGAGACCTCAACCTAACAGGTGAGCAGGCTGCGTTTCTTAGAAGTCCACATTCTCAATGCCGGGGTGCGATGAGAGGGAACTAGTTCTTCATTGTCTTTTAAGTCCTAGTTTTCACACTTATTCTTACCAAGATCCATATTAGCATACAGGTGGGAGTTGGGGAGTGAAGTCCCAGGTTGACTCTGCGTGATTAGCTGGTGAGACTTGAGCATTTCTGCACTTCAGTCTGGGAATGCTGTGAGCCTTTCCCAGAGAGGACTGGGAGATGTGAAGAATTAATTCCATTTGAATGCCTGCTAGCTCAAGAGGAGATGGTTCTTGAAAGCAAAGAAGGGGAGGATGACAACACAGATTTTTTTTGTAGAGCTTCAAGAAGTACAATATGCAGTGGTCAGTCTTTGGTGAAGAAGTAATTATTCTTCTTTTCATGACAGCCGAGTAATAATCATTCAATGTTTTTTGTAGGTTCTCCAGTATCTGCCCCTGCACCCCAGATAGCACAGCCTCCATTCCTGCTCGATGGACTCACATCACAGCCTCTCTTCAATGATATTGCTGCAGGTTAGGGACATATAAATCCTTTGCCCTGAAGTGCCTCAGCACTCAACTAGAAGAGGAAACAAGGGATAGTAAAAAAAAAAGGGGGGAGGGGATTTGAAAATGTGGCAGAGACACTGGAGTAGAAGGGGCTGTGTTTAGTCTTCAGAAGAGTTCATGTCTGGGGTAAACTAAATGCATGCTATGATGTTGAAATGACCTCCAGATTCTGTAGGTCTGCTGCTTTTTTGTTTTGTACAGGAATCCCCTCCATTACTGCATACAACAAGAACGGGCTGAAGATTGACTTCACCTTTGAGAGGTCGAACACGAACCCCAGTGTCACTGTAATCACAATACAGGCCTCCAACAGCACAGAGCTGGATATGACAGATTTTGTTTTCCAAGCTGCAGTACCAAAGGTAGAGCCACTTAGGGCAACTACAGTGAGAGGTAGAGGGCCAGCTGCAAACACTCCCTGGGCGGTGCTTTCATGTAGACAGAAACTTGCAAGGTAAACAAGGCTGAGAGCTGTTAAAAGGATTTCTTAGTGCTCAGTTTGGTCATCTCTTTCTAGTCTGAAAGTAAATGTTGTAAATGCAATAGAACACAGGTTCCTCTCAGATTGGACTACTTTTGCTGGGACAAAATAGTGTTTTAAAATCATCACTTTCTAGGAAAGTTGCTAAACCGCATGCAAAAAAATGTTGAGTCAAAAAACATATTTTGGAGATGCTAATCATTCCCTTTAATCTTATTTTCTAAGAAATATATCGTGTTCTTCGCAGCTATGAATACATGAAAGAGAAACTCTTCGAAGTTATTAGCTGCTTATAAAATTTGAATGAGTCACCATATGGTGATTAGTGGCAGTCCTCATTTAAAGGAGTGAATTCTTCCCTTGCACTCAGCTGCAGCACAAAATATGGGAGTCGGATATTGCCTAGTTTATAGTAGAGCAGACTGCTGAAGCAGGATGTGACTGGAATGCTCTCCAAATTTGGGAAAATACATTCACTTCTGAGAGTTTCACTTCTGGGAATTAGTATTCCCCTACCTTGGATTCAGGTTGGTTTCATACCTGCCATAGGAAGGTGTTAGGAAAGAATGGGCCTCCTGAAGTTCTAATTTTCCTGGCTTTCTCCCAGTGCAGACAAGTCATTTTATGTTCTTACTTGATTAACCACCAAATTTTCTCTTTGCCTTTCTTCAGACATTCCAGCTGCAGCTCCTGTCTCCCAGCAGCAGTGTCATCCCTGCATTTAACTCGGGGACCATCACACAGGTCATTAAAGTCCTGAATCCACAGAAGGTGAGTGATTCCAAGAAGAATTATTAAAGATACTGTCTTGGAATTGTTCGTTTAGTGGCAGTCAGTTAGGGATTCATCTGTGATGAGAGGTAGGGAGTGATGGTAGTGAATGATGTGTTTTTCATGATGGTCATTTTGGTTAGGGTTAGGAAAAGGTTATGAAAAATAGAGGTTTGGGAAAAAAAAGGAGGTTCTGGCCTTCTATTTGGTTATACTGCTAAAACAGATTCACAGCTTTGCTATCTTGAATTCATTCAAGTCTTACATTGGAGTGGTTGTGAAGTTTTCAGGTGGCCTTTCCAGAGGAGCTCAGCCTAGTAATTATATGGGTGGTAAAAGTGGTGTCTGGAAAGCAAGCATCTTGCCATATGAAGATATTCAACATTTGTTCTTGTATCTGCAGCAACATTACTTGAAATGTTTGCTACACAGAAAGTAGCTTGATACATATTCTTAACAAAATTGTCTGTTTTCTCAAGTGGTGTCATTTGTCTTTAATGTGATGAGCGTAGTTTTAAACAGTTGATTGAAAGAATCTTTAGGTGTGATGTAATCATAATTCCATTTGTTTTATAGCCTTCAGAGACAGGCTTCAAGACTGGAATATAACAGATTTGAGGGGAGGGAGGGATGTCCTCCTTAAGAGGCTTTGCAAGTGCTCAGATGTCATCAGAAAGAAAAATAAAATTGAGATCACATGTTTCTTCTTTTGAGGGACAACCTTAAGATCTTAAACGACTCTAAGAACTTAAAACATCTGATGTTTTTCATAGAAGTATATCATGTTCTTTGCAAGTTAATACTTACGTACTGCTCTAGATGTAAAGTATTGCTGCTAGACTGAAGTGCAAATGAGAACACAATCACAAATTTCAGCCCAAGATTTCACTGAATGGCAGTCTTCTAGTGGATAGCTTTTGTGGATTCCATGCATCTCCCCTTATTTCCATGTAGTCTGCTCACCTCTGCCTATATTCATCCACAAGACTAATTATTCTCTGTCTTGTATACATCTGGTAGGAGTTTCTCTATGGTGCCACAGAGCACCTTTCAAAGATCACCGTGAAAGTTATTTTCTGAACTTTGGAGGATTTAGGAGTTTTTCTGTGATGTGCCAGAAGTCACAATATAGCCCCCTCAGATGGTACCCCCAAGGTGAAATACAGCTGGGTAGTGGCATGTTTCCTTGTTGGAACACCACAGCTCCCAGGAACACTTCAGAGTACAGAAGTGCAAAATAGTGTCCATTGAAACTGGATTGAAACTGATGGCAAGTTTTCCAAAACAACACCAAATAAACAAAAAACTGACACTGATGATGTCGATCTATTAGTGATAAAGCATAACTTCTTTATCCTGAGTCTGATTGGAGCAGTCCTTGTCCTCCTTTCCTCCCTCTGCTATCCCTTTTGCATATTTATGTGTAGGTATGGAAAAAAGAGACAGAAATGGTTGACTTTTTACTTTTCTTCTTAGGGTTTTTTGAGAATGAGGAGAATAGGGAACTTAACTGGAGCATGCTGTGTTTTAGGGCCACTTAGTATCTGGGTGACAACCAAATGACAGTGTAAAGCAGCTTCTGAGCTATTCCATCATTTACTCCCAGCAGAAGGCTTGGAGGCTCTTGTTTCCAGTCTTTCATAGGCTGTTTCCTTCACAGTGCTGCTGAGCTGTGCAGTACTTGAAGTTTCCAGACTGCTGTGTTGAGTGGACAGTCAGTTTGGGAAATGCCATCTTTCTCTCCAAGCCCAAGTGCAGAGCAGTGGAGTACGGACCTGCCTCCTGCTTTCTTCTATTGTTAACTGGAATTTTAAGTTACTTTTGTATTTAAGGACCTCAGTGCTTGCAAGAGCAGGGCCAGTGCAGAGAGATGTAGGTAGAAGCTGTGCTATAGCTTTTCTAAGAGCTCGTACCTGATCTGACAACTAGTGACCAATGTCCTACCAGATTGAGCATTTATCTGCAGTGTCATGGCTCACCCTTCACATCCTTCCAGCAAGCTCTTGCAGTCAGGAAAGGTCTGTGTTGAGTATTCATGGGCTAAGGGAGGGGAAATGAATGTTGTGGGATTCGCTGACCTTTAAGGAAGACCTGAATTTGTTTTGTGTGTGTGTTTGTTTCCCCCTTTTCTCTTGTAGCAACAACTACGTATGCGGATCAAGTTGACGTATAATCACAAGGGCTCAGCAATGCAGGATCTAGCAGAAGTCAACAACTTCCCCCCTCAGTCTTGGCAGTGAGGCTCTGGCACCATTCTTATTCTCATCCCACCCAATCAAAAGAACTCTGGGAAGAAGGTTGTGATCCTTGGCAATCCCCCAAACTGCACCATGGGCATGGGGAACAGATGAGACCTGCTGATGAGGAGGAATTTTCCTGAAGTGATTGCTGACTTTGAAGCATATCTGTTAAGACTAATCTCCTCTCCTCCGCTGATGAGGCTGGTGGCTTGTGGACGCTACTGTGCACTCCCTCACACATGCATTCACAGCCAGAAGCAACATTCCCTTCTCCCCTTCCCCCGCCTTCCCCTGGCCCCTCAAAAAGAAACACAGCCTGGTTGGAAGAGAAGTCTGGAATTTCTAGCAGGGAAACTTTCTTCTCTCTGCAGCAAGTGAGCAGTTGCCCCTTCTTTCTGCTGTCTTTTTTCCCTGGGATGGGCAAGGCGTGTCATCATTCATTTCTAGCTGGATTTCTTCAGGCATTTTCATCTGGGACTCAGATGGGGACTTGGGGAATGTCAGGCTGCCTTGCCTCTTTCTTCTTGTATCCCATAGGTCTGAAGGGGCTGGAGGCTTCTTATGACCTACTCAGTGCATTATTGTATACACCCACCTCTTAGTTATGTGATGGCATACGAAGAGCAAGTGAGGCCTTGGGAGTTCATCTGCAAACCTGGGACAGTGCAGGAAAAGAGGTGCTGGCAAGAGCTGGTAAAATTGCGTTTGGTGCTGTACTTGGAAATGAAGACCTTACACTTGAATTTTCTTTCTTTCTATCAGTAGCTACAGCCATGCAGATCCACAGAGTCTTCTGTAGCTTCCCCAGAAAGTGTAGTGAGATATGAGAAACGTAGGGATCCAAGGAGCAGCTGATTTCCTACCACAGACGGTTTCAAAGTCTTTCACCCTGTTAGTTGTGGTTTATGGGTAGAAAAGACACATTCAGTTTTGTAGATCAGTCTTTGGGCAAGGGCTCTGCTCCTGCTGGGAGAGTCATCAGAGACTATGCTGCAAAGTTGCTCTTCCTGGTTATTCCAGACCTTCTCCCCAATTTAATTTCCAGAGCCTGTTGTAGACCCCCTGGGTTCCATTTGAGTTACTTCTGACTGGGATATTTGTGTTGTATCTGTAATATTGGCACTGAAATAAAGACCATGCGGTTTAAAGAGACCTTTCCCATTTTGTTACTTAATTGATCCTTGTAGTTTACTCCTTGCTCCCCTTTCAGGAGAGTAATGTGCCAGTTCAGGTTCAGACTGAAAGTAATTTTACTGTGTTTTGAACGGAAGCCAGTTGTTTGAGTATTTGGATCCAAAGAGGTGAGGTACAGTACCCCTGTGAGCTCATGGAAAGCTGTGTTCAGGATGTTCCTGTGGAACTGCTGGGAGGTGGTGCAGTTCAGGGCGGTCTTTCAGAGGCCATGTGTAGGACATAAAGCACAGTGTGACAAACTGTTCAGATATTCAGTGCTCTTCAGGGAGGAAGAGGGGAGGATACATCTTAGATCTTCATCTGTGAGTGTGCTGGTAAGCTGAAGGTAGGGTGCGTCTGCTGCAGTTCTGTTTTAGGGCTTTCCGGACAGTGATCGTTGAGTGCTCTCCTGGCAAACTTAGACACAGCTTTTTGTGTCCGCAGAAGTGCTAATACTGGGCTCCAGTCCTTGCCAAAAGTATTGCAAGAGTGGTACACAGTGTATTTTGGAAAAATTGAAGACCTATTCTGCCATTGAATTGGGAACAGGAGGCCACTAAAGGTTGTTCAGTCTGCTTTGGTTTTAACTGCATTAAGTAATATAAGGTAGGACTGACTGTCACTGACATAAGTGCCAGTCATGTGTAGTGGAGTAAGTTTGTCTTCTCTCAGAGGCCTTTTTTACTACCTTACTGATTAAAGAGGTTTGGGCCTTTGGATTAGCAAAGAGGTTTATTCTACTAGAACTGGCATCAGCATGGGGTTATAAAATCTAGAAGAATAATGTATGATTTCCTTAAAAGTATCTTTGGGTTGTGGTAGGGTCATGCCTTGGCTATGAGTGGTGGGATAGATCCTGTGCTTCTATCTAGAAGCATTATGAAACAGGCAGTCTAGCAGGAAATGGCTGAATTAAGGTACATTTCTGGTGCTGAGCATTTAACTTTGTTGTTTTCACTGCAGTTCTGGCTATTCACCACCCCACTAGCTCAAACTCAGTGTTGAAAACTGACCATGTTAAGTCTGTACTTCAGTGAGCTTTGAGGGCGTCCCAGAGAGAAAGCTAACGGAAAGTCTTTGCCTTGGTTCCTGAGCTCCTTATAAGCTCTCCTGTTCTCTTCACAGAATTGTACATGGTCACTTGTACTGAAAGCCAACACACCTTGCTCTCCCTTTGGTTTTGCTGGGAAAGAGCACTGGTGTGGGAGATTAGATGGGAAGGAAGAAGGAAATGGTCTGTCACCTGGCGAGTTTGTTGCAGCAGAGTTGGGAACAGTGTATCTTGTCCCTCTTGTCATGCTTGTGTTCTGTCCCTAGAGCAGCTGGGTTTTGCTGTTGGTCTCTGGTAAGCTTGTAGGATGAATTCCTTCTGTGTTCTTGGCTCCTTCAGCCACCCTTGCACCGTGTCTGTGCTTGGGGAAATGGGCACTTTGTCACATGGGGGCTGGAGGAGGCGGCACGTGTACCCGAGATGTGTTTTGCAGGAAGCCATCCCTTGCCTATAAAGAACTCTTTTGTAGCAGCCAAACATTCCGCTTGTCCTGGAGCTCTCTCCCCTCCTCACTAAGGGATGGGCACTGACATTCTGCCAGAAGGAAGGCCAGGCTTCCCACCTTCCCGTACCTGCAATCCCAGATAACGCTGCTTGCTCCTTGACCCCCGTGTGCTCCTCAAGCTCTGTGCTGCTGCTGGGGTTTCCCTCTGGAGAGTACTCACACCTCTGAGGCACTCCCAGACTGAGTCCTCTTCCCACCAGCTGAATGCAACAATTCTTACAGGCCTGGTCAACGTTTTACATGCTTCACTGTAAGGGGAATATAAAGGCAGCAAGATACAGACTTCGTGGCTAATCTTACTAACCTACATGGAAGACTTTGGAGCTGGGAGATATTGAATGTCTGTTTTTTTCAAGTGAATGTATTTTGAGTCACAAAATGACAGAAACAATAGTGGCCATATTGGGCCTGAAGGGGGAGGAGACATGGGAAGGTCCTAAAGTCGACTTTATCCAGGTTTTGATGGGACAAAATATGGCCTTGAACAACTTATTGAAGCAATAGCAGTGAGGGGACTGCCACCTTTACAGTACCTTGGATCTATAACTTGGAAGATGCTGAAACAGCTGGGAAAGGTGCCAGTGCCTTCCCTGAGGCTGGTCCCAGCTGTGAGCTGCGGCAGCAATGACGCTGGTGCACTTTTATGTGTTCATTTTCTACTTGGAGGCTGTGAGGGAAGGAGCTGCTGGACTACTTCCCTCTGAACTTTCACTCTATTCCTGTATATTTCTTTTTCTTTCCTGATGTTGTAATTTAAATTTTGCATAGAGCCCCAATTCCACCTCTTTGACAGTATAGAGAAAAAAATAAGCAAACAAAAAACCCCATGAAAATACAAACCCCCAACAAACCCAACCAAATTTGAAGTAAGAACATGCCATTTGAGCAGGGAGCCTGGTGGCACTTGAAATTCTGGAGACCTATTTTTGAGATGTGAAAAATTTAAGTAAATGCTGAGTCGTAGGTGAGTGAGGAGCTTAACGGATGTAAACATTTACATGGGATGCATTAGACTTCTGCTGTGTGTATTGTCTTTTGGTTGAAACAAATTATGAAGTGACTAATAAAATGAGTCAATATTCAATGATTTAAAACTGTGCCTTGTTGCTTTCTGCAAGTACAGCTGGATAGGATGTTTTGATTCTTGATGTTTGGCCATGGCAAATTCAGATGATGCAAAAAAAAAAAAAAGGCAGATTTTGAAAACCTTTATGGGAAATTTTGGAGAGCAAAATGAGAGGACAATTGCAAAACGCTTGGGCAGTTCAGAATAGCACCTGGAGAGAGAGTGTGTCAGTTAGTTACTAGCAGCAATGCTTGTCCAGGTGCTAGAAATGTGTGTGGGATCTGAACACGAAGAATATTTTTCACCGGTATTTGCAGTGTGCTGTGGGTATTGGTCATGATTCCATTGCTACTTAAAAGGCCACTTTGGTACTCCGTGTGCCTCTGGGACAAAGATCACCATCATCTGTGTCAGAGCAGCATCTGTGTCTGCGGGGAGGCTCTGCCTTGTGTTTTCTAGTCACAGTCACATTTCATTAGATAACTTTTCAAGTCTCTTCTAGCACGTAATTGCACTGTGGAGAAGGCGGGAGGCTTTTGTTGTTAATGTGCTTGATGCTGTTGGGGCATGAGCAGTAGCTGCCCTAAAGCATTAATCAGATTCTTCCAAACTGCACCGCGATGATGATGTCGTTAGTAGATAATTATATCATTAGTAGCAGCCACTAGTTAAGAGTGGCAGAGCTTACGTGGTGGACCTGCAGGGCACCAGGAGGAAGGCGATGTTCGGCTGTCGAGCTGTGTTCCTCCAGCCGTGGCAGCTGGTGGTGACAGACGCTGGAGGTAAGCAGAGGGCGGGCAGTGACGGGTGTGTTTGCTGCGCTCAGGTGAGCTTTGCCCCGTACCCGGCCGGCCGGCGAGCGCTTCTCTCAAGGCACCTGGCGCCGGTGGGAGGCACGGACACAGCGCCCGGGACGGGGGAAGGACGGCCGGGCCCGGCTCAGGAGGGGACAGCGAGGACAGCGGCCCCGGCCCGGGAGGGGACAGCGGGGCCCGGGCGCTGCCGCCCGGGGGCGGGGCCTGGGCCGCGCGCCCCGCGCGCTTCCGGGGCGGGGCCGCCGCCGCCGCCCGGGCTGTGGGTCCGGCCGGGATGGGGGAGGCCGGGCCGGGGCCGGGGCCCGGGCCCAGGGAGGCGCAGGAGCCCGAGGAGGACGAGGCGGCGGTGCCGGGCGGCGCACGAGGGGGCCGGGCCGGGCCCCGCGGCGGCATCCGGGTGCTGAAGGTGAGGAGGGGGCCGGGGCCTCCGGCGGGGTGGGGGCTAGTCGGCCGCGGGGCACCGGGGGCGCTTCCCGCCGCGACCTTGGCGGGGCGGCCGGGCGGGGCC